CCCTGGAATCACAGCAAATCCTAGTTGTTTGGCAACCTTCCTACACATTATATGCAAATAAGCTCTTTTCCACCTGTCTGATCCCAACTGTCTCTGCTCAAAGTAGGTTTTTACTGAGTATGGAAAGAAAGCTGAGACGACCACCAAGCTCCTAGCAATCTGAAGTTAAAAAAAACTAAATGTCGGAAGGCTGATTAAGAAGCAATTTCTCTTTCCAGCATGATCTCCCTTACAAAGAGAAATGTCCCCAGGAGTAAGATAGAGAAGATAAAGCGGGACAGGGAAACAACCAAGAAGCAAAGGACAAAGTGGTGCAAACTTCCTGTTAGAGCAGTATGGCAATGGGACCAATTATCTCAAGAGGTGGTGAGTGCTCCAACGCTGGAGGCATTCAAGAGAAATTTAGACAACCATATGCCAAATCTGCTTTGATTTGGATTCCTGCATTGAGCAGCAGGTTGGATTCGATGGTCTTATGGGCCCCTTCCAACTTCATGATTCTATTCTATTCTATGTTGATCTTTAAGACGCCACAACATTTTGTCACTTGCTTCCCCCCCACTTTTGACAACATGCAGAGATAGACCAACACAGCTACCTCTCTTGAAATAGAAGATATACATCACATAGCATTAAAGGTAAAGGTTCCCTTGTCACATGGCAATGGAACCAATTATCTCAAGAGGTGGTGGGTGCTCCAACGCTGAAGGCATTCAAGAGAAATTTAGACAACCATATGCCCAATCTGCTTTGATTTGGATTCCTGCATTGAGCAGCAGGTTGAACTCGATGGTCTTATGGGCCCCTTCCAACTTCATGATTCGATTCTATTCTATGTTGATCTTTAAGACACCACAGCATTTTGTCACTTGCTTCCCCCCCACTTTTGACAACATGCAGAGATAGACCAACACAGCTACCTCTCTTGAAATAGAAGATATACATCACATAGCATTAAAGCCTTGACATGTCCTTTCTCTGAGTGTGATTTAGACACGGAACGCTGTTTACCTTCCCACTGAGGTGGTCCCTATTTATTTACTCGCATTTGCATGCTTTCGAACCGCTAGGTTGGCAGGAGCTGGGACAAGCGACGGGTGCTCATTCCGTTGCGTGGATTCGATCTTACGACTTCTGACCCTGCAGCACAGGCTTCTGCGGTTTAGCCCACAGCGCCACCTTGACATGTCCTTTCTCTATTGTAAATTGTCTTCAGGAAAGGGTGCTTTGAACTAGGGAAGGGGCAATGGAAAGTGATGTTTGAATCTTGCCATGTAATCTTCCTTTGAACATCTCTCCCACTGTATTCCCGGTCCATAAGTGTTATACTACCTGCTTAGCAGTATAAAACCAAGTAGCAACATTTGCCATCAATATTTACGGATGAGATTTTTTGGAGTAATTGTGTGATGGGCTTACTGGCCACTTTCTAAGTCCCAGAGAAGGATGGCATCTTAAACTGTATGGCTCACAGAAGCACTGGCTACAAGCACCCTATGCTTTCTTGTAGTAAAATGTATGTGCAGTAAACCCATAGAATGTAGGTAGGCTTTTGCTTAACAGGCTAGGCATGCCCTACCTCAAAGTGAAAACACTGTAGTTTAGTTTAACCATGTGTGGACCCAGACAGAAAAGAACCGTCCAAAAGGCTGATGGATTTGCAGAGCTGGGGTGGGGGTGACGGGGTGTGTGTGTAAAAAAAGAGACAGCCATGAGAAGGTTTTGTTGAAAAATAAATTTATTTACAGGGCAGGATCCCAGAGAGATTCATCATAAAAAATAAACAGGATCCAAGCCCCCGTGTAGAGGTACCCAGAGAGGAACAGATCTCCACCACCCCTGGCTCAGGGACCAAGCCCAGATTGACAATGAAGAAGAGCAGGGAAGAAGAAACTGCAGTACACCTACTTCGGCATCTTGCAGGAAACCTCACCCCATCCCAAAGAAGGGTAGAATTCAGTAGAGCATCTGCTTCAGGGAAAATCTGACGAATCCCTGGATTTTGCCCTGTTCTTCCCATGTGTCTCAACCAATCCCTGCCAAATGGGCACTCTGTGAGACCCAAAGTGCCACTGAGATAGAAAGAGAAATCCTGAACAGCAGAAGACCCAGCAAAACTGGCACAGCCCCCCCCGACACAAACACTCAATAAAAAGGGAAGCATGTTCAAGGGAGGAAGGCAAAAAAAAAAAAACCACCTCACTCCCTTCCAAAAACCCCCACAAAGTACTGCCATATGTTATTGTGCTATAGGTTGGGTGGGATATTCTTGGAAATTATGATGCCAAGTCCCTGCGGTGGTTATAGTGAGCAGTGTTTGGTTTGCATGTGATATAAAGCTCAGGTTGTTCTCTCCTTTTTCCTTTCTTTTCTTTTTGTTTGGCTCTTTCTCTTTTAGATATTATCTTTTAAAAGAGTGAAGGAGAAATCAACACACACATACACACACACACACATACTCCTCCACCACTATTCCTCTAATGAAGCTTTCTTAGATATGAACTGAGTTAGATTTAAAGGCGATCCTTCTGGTTGAGTTTAAACAAAAATCTGAATATGTGGGTTTATATTTCCATCAAAGCTCTGCAGCCCCCTTTCCTGTCATAAAGGTCCCATCCATTCAATCCACCATTTTTTTTTATACCAGGGATGGGCAAAGAGGAGTCCTCCAAATGGTGTTGGGCTGCAACTCCCATCAGTCATACCCAACTTAGCCAATGGTGAGGAATGCTTGGAGCTGTAGTCCAACAATATTTGGAGGGCTGCAATTTGCCCGTTCTTCCTTTAAACCCTATTTTACTTTGAGTGCTATCATCTTCCTTGTGTGTCACCCTTTCAAAGTCAATTAAGAGTAGCCTCTGGAAAATATGTCACCAAGACCAAACAACAAGGGTAATGCTCAGTTCCCACTCACACACTGAGCTGTGACAGAATGAAGAATGCTACAGTGGACCCTTGACTTACAGACGGCTTGACTTACAGACTTTTTGAGTTACAGACTTCTCTGGCCGCAAAATTTAGGTTTGACTTGCAGCCTGAGATTTGACTTACAGACCAGAAAAAAACCAGAATGTTTATATTTCCATCAAAGCTCTGCAGCCCCCTTTCCTGTCATAAAGGTCCCATCCATTCAATCCACCATTTTTTTTTATACCAGGGATGGGCAAAGAGGAGTCCTCCAAATGGTGTTGGGCTGCAACTCCCATCAGTCATACCCAACTTAGCCAATGGTGAGGAATGCTTGGAGCTGTAGTCCAACAATATTTGGAGGGCTGCAATTTGCCCGTTCTTCCTTTAAACCCTATTTTACTTTGAGTGCTATCATCTTCCTTGTGTGTCACCCTTTCAAAGTCAATTAAGAGTAGCCTCTGGAAAATATGTCACCAAGACCAAACAACAAGGGTAATGCTCAGTTCCCACTCACACACTGAGCCTTTTCAGTGTAATGTGACAGAATGAAGAATGCGACTTTACATGAAATAAAGGGCAGCCAATTTACAGAATAAAAAAAGAAACAAAATATCCCCCTCTAGTGGTTGAAGGAGGAATAGCAGCTTCCCATTAATTTCTATGGACGGAAAAGAGCAGATACGGATCAAATGGTTTTCAATGCATTCCTATGGGAAATGCAGATTTGACCTGAGAACTTTTTGACTTGAGAACTGCCTTCCAATACGGATTAAGTTCTCAAGTCAAGACCCCACTGTACTTTACATGAAATAAAAGGCAGCCAATTTACAGAACTCCTGCAGATTTCCTTTTGGGGGAAGGGGAACAGTACAGATGAAAAATTGCCCTGAGCAAATCTAACTTACGAGCAGGTTACATACGTCTATCGATTTTGTTTTGCAAGGGGAGAAAATGTACAGAGATGCATACATGGGAAATCTGTTCCAAGGAAACCTGTCTGCTTGATTATTTGAAGAGGGAGAATGTAGTCTATTACCCTGAAAACATCTCACGGGACCTTAAAACTAACAGATTTATGGCAGCATAAACATTCATGGACTAAAGCTCACTTTATGTCATCAGATTTCATGACTCTGGTCCATGAAAGATTATGCTGCCATAAATCTGGACAGCTTTATGGTGCCACAAGACCCTTGGTTACATTTCTCTCCCTCCCCCCCCCCAGTTTATTGGTCAATCAAACAGGGTTTAACAACTATATCTCCTCCTTGTTATCATCCAGTCCAGTTGTACCGATTTGGCCCTTTGTCATGGGAGTTTGGACCGGTTTCCAACAGGGTGACTGACAGACTAGCTGTGAAATTCACCCATCCTACAGGTGAGACTTGACTGGCTATTCTCATGCCACAACAGTCTCTCAATAACTTCCAGGCTCTCTCCTGCAAAGGCCTGAAAAATAAGATGAGAGCAGGATTATGTCAGAACTTAGCCCATGAAGCCTCTGTTTCAGTTGCTACCTTAGAACAGTAAATATTTTTATGGACAGATGTTCTACATCTTTAACCATTTTTAAAAACTGAACAAATTAATCATTAGGACCTTTCCTCCCACTGCCTGGCCATGAGCAGAAGTAGGTGGGCAGGTGGGCAGGAAGGCTTGACATGTAAATTTCTCCCTGTTGTGCCACAATTGACTGCACACCAGCTTCTGTTCACAAAAAAAAAGGGTGAGAATTCCTTTATCTTTCAAGAATGTGTGTGTGTGTGTGTTTAGTCGTTTAGTCGTGTCCGACTCTTCGTGACCCCATGGACCAGACACAAAAAAAAGGGTGAGAATTCCTTTATCTTTCAAGAATACCCTGTTCAAATGGTTGGGTGAGCAGACTGCAAAGGAAGACGGGGTTTCTGAATGTTTAAAATTTAAACACTTAGCTAGAGGTGAGAATTTTCCAAGTGCTGCTTTTCACACTGCTTCAGGAGAAACTTCTGCTAAAATGTCTTTTTCTATACTACCACTTCAAAAAAAGAACACCAGCCGGAATCTTGTCCTACTTTGTATCTGATCAGCTAGCTGTTCTGCCTTTTTTTTCCTCTCTTCTCTATTTTTTAAGAGTAGATTGTGAAGCATTTTGCTCTGAAAACTGCTTCAGAATTCTCAAACACAAAAGCCGGCATTCAGTGTTCTATCATGGCCTGGTGGGAGCAGGAAGTAAAGATTTGCAGGCAAGCGCAGTTCTCAATTCTTAATGGCTGCCATCATCCACAGTAGGAAGAAAGGCCTATCCGAGTCCCAACACCAGTCAGGAAGTGCATCGATTTTATTTCTCCTTTATGGGTGAATACCAAAAATACTGCCTTTGCAAACAATGTTGGGATGGGAACAAAACCTGTTCACTAGCCATGTTAGCGGTCACCCAGCTTCTTTGAGCCGACCCGCCCTTCTACATCCACAGAACAAGTCAGTATAGAGTAGGAAACCACCACCCCTTATTCATAGGATCAGGATCCGTTGATTCACATATCCTCTGGCTAAAAATACTAAATAAAAAAATCCCAGAAATACTTATGTGTATTTCAGAGATGTATTTACAAGAAATGGTCACTAGAGGTAGCCAGAGACCATGCGACATACAGAGAGTTCACTACTTCAATGTTCAGCATAGCGGGGGGTGGGTGGGCTTGGAACCTCTCCCCTGCAGATACCACAGTCTTACAGTATTTACTTGAAACTTTATTGGAATTTTATAATTGTAGTTCTAGAATTTTATAGCTGTGGCTCAAATCTAGAGACTGGAAAATGTCCCTGCTGGATGGGGAATTCTGGAGCTACAGTCCAAAAAAGTAACTTTAGGAACATTCGGTAATGAGATCATGCTAGTTTGTCCACTGAGTGGAAAGGATCTTGGTGGAATTTTATGTTATGGAAATTGATTTATCTTAATTTTTGAAATTATTTATAAGCCACTTTTCCCCCATGGGGGGGAAAAAGACTGGACCTTCCACCCATCCCATGTATTATGTTGGCTGGTTACCTCTACCTAAGGGCCACTTCAACACTATGCTTATGTTCACACTTGTATGGTGCTGTTGGTTTAGGACCTACCAGGAAACGACAAGAAACTGAAGTTTTGAGTCTCTAATAGGAAGGAGAAAGAAGGCAATGTAATGCTCCTTCTTGCCCTCTCTAGTCCAGGAACTGGAATCAGAAGGAAGAATTAAGCGAAAAAGTAGTTCACTGGGAAACCTGCTGTGTCACTCAACCATGGTTGAGGCTACTGGTATGGGAACTGCAAGAAGTGGGGCTTTGGGAAACCCAATGCTGCCAGACTGAACATGGGGTTGAGAGAGAAACAAAGGAGAAAAACTATGAGTAGATGTCGTGGAAAGAGCTGGAGCTCTTCCCTCCATAAGGAGTGAGGTTTCTCAAGCTTTTTATTAATAATAAGTAACAAATAGGCTCCATTTCGCCACTTCCGCATGTCTATTCTGTCAAAGAGTGCATCTGGCATTGTACTGTATGAGGAAATTATATTAGTATTGTATTTTAATGAAAGCACTGCTGCTTTTTGGCTTGCCAAACGGATGAGTGTTTCACCATTCCTCCTTTTCCCTAAGCTGTACGTGTGTGAAAGGATTCGGACTTGGTGACTCACTGGAGTTCCTCTCCGTGGAAATCAACCGCCCGGTCCCCTGAAAAATCCTCTGAGAAGCCTTACTGACCCACTCACTTAACTCCAGATAGGAACAGAGCTCCTAAATTGTGAGAGGCTCTGGATTGAATGAAGTTAACTCCTTGTTAGAACACAGCCCAACTATTTTTTTCTTTAAATATTAGTCTGATTGTTTTGATACAAAAGAATTTAACCTCATTGAATTCTCCAGGGCTACTTCTATTGCAAATAATGGAATGTGAGTAAGGAAGATATTTTGATGGGGAAATACCGACATCCTTTCTTGGCATCATTTTCTTTTCTTTTCTTTTTTAAAAAAAGTTTTTACATTTTAAAAAATATTTTTTTGCACTTACCCCTTGAACATGCTACCACGCGGGGGGATCCTTTCATCACATGGGTCAGCACGAATTATGGCTACAGACATTGTTTTGCTTCTACTCTAGCGTAAATGTTTCTGACAGCTGCGCAAGTAGAAGGGAGGGAGGACAAAAAGCATAGGACGGCAGAGCCCTTGCTTTGCTCCTGAGAGCCACACTCTCCCGAGTCCCCCAGGGACTTTAAAGCAATTAACCCTGAAGACAGATGTTCAGGATGGAGAGCGCCAAAGGGGCCATTCGTCCTATGCCAAAAAAAAAAAAAAAGTTTATAAAGCTACTCTGCTGGGTGCTCTCAATAAAACTGGGGGGAAACCCAATGGCACCTCTATGAGAGAGAAAGAGAGAGAAGTCCCATGTGGAGGGAGCCTGTTTGAGAAAACCATGCTCAAATGGTTTAAGGATTACACAGGCTTCCACACGGCTTGACCACAGGCCAAACATGGCTTACATGACCTACTCATTGTTTGCATATGGTGTACACCAAACGTAACCATACTTCACTTAACAGTTTACATGGAACAAAAATTGCATTTTACTGATTGTTTACTCATGGCTTACCTGTGGTTTGCATGTTGGATGTCTACAGCGAAACCACAAGTTATTTATAAAGTTACATAGCAAGTCCATTGTTTACAATTATTTACTCGTGATGTACTTGTGGGTTGCACACAATCTCACCAGAGTTCCTTTTGCCCTTGCTCGTGCTTTGCTGAAGGTTCAGCCACGATGCATTTTATTTCTTTGCCCATGGTTTGCTATTATTATACTCATGGCTTATGCATGGTGTATTCACAGTTTGCTTTAAAGCACAGCTTACTTTATACACAAATCACATATGATTTACACACAGTTTTATCCATAATAACACTCATGGTTTGTACCTGATTGATATGCAGATTGCTGTTTACACAAAGTGCCTTAATTTATTCAATAAATCTGTAAACCACCCCTTGTAAAGCACTTAAGATTTCTCCCCATAGGAGGTAATATGGAAGTGCAAAAAATATACTCGTTACAACTATTAAATGCTACACAAAGGGATGATTAAAATTAACCACATCTGTCTGGTTAAAATTGCCCCCACATCTGCCAACCACAAAGCTGTCCTTGGGCCTCATATCAAGTCTCAGCTTCCTCTTGCTGTAAAGTAAACGTGTTTCATCTGACCAGACACCAGAAGCTGCAACTGATGGGTTCTACCTCATCTGTTATGAAGGAGCTCAAGGAAATAAGCCTTATTACTTCTAACTTTACAACTGAGTAAAAGCAAGTCAGGGCCAAACTGGACAGAAAGGTAGCGGATGTTTTACAACTTAGACCTGTATTGTCCACACAAAAGAGTGGGAGGGTTTTATAACAGCAACAGGTGAGAAGGCGGGGGGGGTACTGCCCCCCACCCTTTCCTCACAGCTTACCTCCCTATAGTTTGTCTCTTGTGATAGTCTCACAGCCCTTTCTGCAAAATGTGTGCTGAGGAACAGCTGAGAATCTGCCACTAAGTCCCTAATACTCCAGAGGACTCCAGGGCATGTTGATTATGGTGGCTGAGGAGCATGGGAGTTGTAGTTCAAAACATCTGGTGGGAAAGACTGCCCTCAAACATACACAACATACTACCAGGACCAGGGAAAACTTGATCACGGCAGGCCATCTCTCTCTCTCTCTTACAGTCCGCCATTAAAGAAACTTTCTGGCAACAGTTTGAAAGCCACTGTGCTGAACAATATGCTCTATGATCTTTCTTCCATTTAAAAATAGCCAGACACAAATTAGGGAACCAAAGGCTTCCCTTTCCCATTTTGCTTTAAAAGAACTCCCTCTCTCCCACCCCCACTGTAAAAAATAGATATCAAAAACAGACAAAAAGATAGATATAGCTCTAAAGCCATCTTATTTTCCTCTTTGTACGACCCTCTTGGTCATAGATAAAAATCTGTGAATAGATATATTATACTCTGTGTGAGAGAGAAAAAATAGAAGGTGCTGGGAATTCTGATTATTATGAATCATAGGATATTTCTGAAATGGCCTCTCCTCTGTGTCACAAATAAATACCTATGGGAAGAACTGCTTCCCAACACAATTGGTAAGTGATGCAATTGTCACCAGCTGAGGAGTTTTAGTTACGTTAAACCCACCTCGTACAAAGAGACACAGCCCTTTTGCAGGAGCCAAAGAAAGAGGCAGGCCAGCTCTGTTTCCAAAGGTAGTCCCTCTCCATTTGGGGGGGGGGTTGCAGGAAGAGGATACAGGGTGGGCCATTTGTGAGTGCTGCTGCTCCCATGGTGATTCAAAACTTGAAAACTTGTAGGAAACTTAAGAGGTATGTGAAGCAGGGCTCCCTCTTCAGTGACCGATCAACGAGTTAAGATTGCCTTGCAAGATGACTAATGTCTTAACGCTTCTCCAAACATGAAGGAAATGAAATCACAGGAAACAGTCATCCACAGAGAGCATTAAGACCTTCCCTTTGGTGATTTCAGCAGTGGCCTTTGATCCTCAGGAAATAAATTAAAGAAACCATTCCTCAACAAAGAGAGAAAGTTCAGGAATCAATCGCGGCGTTTCTGTTCTCTGGTCTCCACGCTGATGGACTGGTAACCGTGGACCTGTAGGAAGTACATCGACGAGGGTGGAAACGACAGAGACTTCCTCAGCTGTAGTCTTGATATCAGAGGTGGAATCTGATACAACGGAAAGAAACGGCAAGAACATCCCCATCTCAATAAACCAGGGTTAGCCAAAACAAACATGGCTGACACTGCTACCTCATCTAGCAAAACACAGTAAGACTGGCAGTGCTTCTTCCTACTGTGTTGCACAGCAAACAATCCTCCCTCCCTTCTCTTTTGTTAAGCCAAGGGAAATAATGGCCTGTTCCAACACTTCTTTTTTCATAACATATGAAGATTTTTCATGCTCAGCAGTGCTTCATCATCTTCATTCAGCCACAAGAGACACAGCACTATGGTCCTCATTCAGCCAAAAACAAAAAAATGGCTTAAAACTCTTCATCCTAACTATCTAGGCCTCTCATAACAAAGAGGACACAACACACTTGCCTTCTGATCATCATCCACCCATCGCTGAAAGAATCGCACAGCGAAAATAAATATGGCTGACGTTGACTCTGCCACCTACATCCAGCTAAAATGCACAAGGCTTGCCGGGGCTATAGTGCAAATTGTGCATTGTGACTTAGCTAGCCCCAAACCAATCCAGGCAAGGAAAGAATGGGATGAAACAAGATGTTCATGTTATCTTGGAGGGCAGAGGGAATGAAATGGCCTTTTTGGCCTTGGATTGCCACCAAAAGTCATCTCTGTTACAAGTCTGAATGCTAAGACAGAGGAAACCAAAAAAAGGAACCCACACGGCCATATCAAAGGTGAACAAAGACAACCCCTTAATAAGAGAGGAGACTAAATAAAAGAGGTTATCTCCCTTTTGCCCCAAAGAGGTATTGGAGGGCTGTATTAAACGTTCGAGAAGGAGGCCAGCGCGGCACACCAACTTCTTGGTGTAAAGGAGGCATCATTTGGCTCCAAAGGAGAATCCTGTCACATCCAAGGCCAGTGGATGGATCTGCTCGCTATGCCGCACGTTGCCCCTGCAAGCAGGTCACTGGTCCGGAGACTGAAGAAAGCCTTCTTCCGGTCGGTGAAGGGGACACGTTAGCTGTCTAGCTGGAGAAGTGATCCCACACGCTGGGAAAGAAACTCAGGCCAGCTCTTCAGCAAGAAATAGGGAGACTGCAATGGGCAGAGGAAACGTTATGGCTTCTGGGGTCCAGGAGAGAGGACGACAGGAGTGGAGAGTCCATCGACGCTGAGTGATGGGATGTGGACTTGTGAGCTGGAATTGCTAGGAAACTGAAAAGAGAGAGAGAGAGAGAGATGCTTAGGGCTTGCACAATTGCCTTTCCTAGGAAGACGTTACTACAGGGCTCATCTACATATCGGGTTTGCTCTGATTAAAGAGGTGTTCCATGACCCACTGATTTGGATAAGTTTAACTTGAACTGATTCCTTCCATTCCCCTTCTGCTTCAGGACTGTTTTCCTTCATTTGGCAATGATTGTGTGTGTGGGGGGGTTCTCCCCCATCCAGTTTGTTCCAGATGTGTCAGCCCTGTCTTTTTCTTTGTCGCAAACAAGCTTGAGTTCATATTTAACATGCCCAGTTTGAACTCCCCTGACATCAGCTTTGATGTCCTCTGTGGAAGTACCTCGCCACTGCCTCCCTCTGTGAGAGGGAAAAGAGACAAGGGGTGGAGACGGGGCCAAGAATGGCATGGGAGGCATGAGAGGGAAGGATGGCGAGAGGCAGGCGGAGGAAGAGAAGGGATGTCTTTTGTTGCAGAAATTCCAACTGGGCGAATCTGGAGAATATTCAAGGGAAAATCAAAACTTTTGGGTATGGAAACTTGGAATGAGTGGTTCTGAATCCGTGGGGAAAATTAATCATTCTTCCAGCTTGCCTCAATCTGAGCCACAGACCTTGTGTGGATGAGTCTTGTGAGAGGAAACAACATGCGACACAGTGGGACAAAACCCTTTCCCTCCCTTTCTTTGCTCCAGACCTATCCTTACCCTATAAACACGGACAGAGTGGCAGTAAGAAGATGGTATGTGTTTGGAGCCCCATAGGAAGTCAGCTCACCTACAGGGGGAGTCTATCTGGGGCAGAGCACCGGTGAGCAGAGAGAAGCCTCAAAGGTCACCTTGTTCATTTTCTTCCCAGAAGCAGTTTTTAAGCATTGGGCTGTCTGGGCCTGGCAAGAGACAACACTCTGGCTTGTTTTGGCCCTCAAAAGCAGAGGAAGTGTGAGTGCACAATCAGGTGCTGGCTTGCTTCTTCCGTGTTTTGAAAAAGAAACATGTCATAGCACCACCTTCTGTCGGGTTCAGGTGTCACACAAAACCAAAGATCTGTGTTTGTGGCCACCAGCACCCCCAAATCTGTGGCCTCCAGCAATACCAAGACAGTTGTTAGGTTTAAAAAAAAGATTTTTGGGCTCAGGAAGTTCCCACGTGCTCTCTAACAGCCATTTTCAAACCCCCCTCTCTTTTTTTGGCCATAGCTATAGACACAATAGGAAAGAAATATAGGCCGAAGCAGGATTGTATAAGTCACACAACGAACCTTACAAGGTGGTGTGTGAAGAAATGTTTCCAGTCTGTGGCTCCCTTCAAATGTGCCAGCCCCCCTAGCCCAGGAGGCCATACGGCCCCCGTTTAGAATAGCTGAGAAGTGTGGAAGGCATCCTTGCCTTGTTTACAGGGGACCTAGCACCCCTGCCCTCCCCACATTTACCCCAATTTAGCAGTCTAAAAACATCTGGGAGAGCCATAGTTTTCTTTCTGGGACATAAGGTCTTCGTCACCAAGCCCCTAGACTCTGTCCTTCCAGTTCCTCAAACTGACCTCTATGGTCTTCCAGTTCTACCACTGACTAGCAGTTCCAGGATGCATCTCCCCTAATCTGCCACCTCCCTCTTCTCACACTCCGAGTCCTACTCACAACCTGGAATTTCAAACCATACCTGGAAGGAGAGCTTGGCTGGGCTGCGTGGTGCGATGGGGCTCAGGGTGCTCCAGAAATGGATAGTGGGTGGCAAGGAACTCGGAGTGAGAAGAACTGGGGTCTGGGGAGAGAACGAGAGAAAGAGAGAGAGAGAAAAGAGAAAAGAACAGCATGGCACAACTAGAACAGAAAAAAGGAACTACAATTCTGCAGGTCCTCTTGGGTCCAAAGACTTACTCTGTCGGCCTGCTACTTTATAAAAAATTATAATGTATAACTAGAAAAGTGTAACATCTATTTTGTCATATGTATAACAAAGGTATATGTTTTGGAAACAAAAAAAAAATCCTTTTCGCCCCATGTCTGCTCTTTTAAGGCTTTTGTGTGTTTGTTTGTGTGCGCGCATGCTTGCGTGCGCGTGTGTTGTTTGGTTTCGTGTTTTAAATCAGTAGCTATGCAGATGGAGGAATTTTGTCAGGGGCACTTTCTCATTTGCATATAAGCAAAGCTGTTCTCCTTTACATCTGGTTGTTCTACTGCCTCATCAGTGATTTCAGGACTGCTCTGAAATGGGATGAGTGGATGGATGGGGGGGGGATGTCAAATCCCACCCCAGTACCATAAAGTAGGCTGACAGGAAAGCCTTTCACCACATAAATTTAAAAAAAAAACAGTCCCACACAACACCATTCTGGCTATTAGGTTAGTAACTTTAAGGCCACTTGGTGACAATTGAGGCCAGATTAGCCACTGACTTCTAATTTATTGTGTCATATGGATGCTATTCTTATGTGCCGTCCTGTTGCTACCATATTATGGCAACCATAATAGTGTTCTCAAGATCTGTGAGATATTAAAGGAGTGGTTTTACCAGTTCCACCTTTCCTCATGAGATTCTGTGGCCAGGTGGAGATTTGAACCCAGGTCTCCTGAATCCGAGAACGAAGCTCTATTTGCCTCACCATGCTGGCTTTCATGGTATACACATATTTCAAAGATTGGTAATATTATGTTTTTTGACTACAACTCCCAGAATGTCCTAGCCAAAGCCGGCTAGGGGATTCTGGGAATTGTAGTCCAAAGAACATTCCCGAGCTCTAGTATATCTGCTGTTTATAACTGGGAAGTAAAAACAAGATGTTCTGGGGAAATCTGTAAACTTCCTATTTTAATTTGGCATGGCCCTGGTAAAAATGAATATACCTTCAGGTAGTGGGCGGCATATAAATAAATAAATAAACAAGCAAGCAAACAAACAAATAAATAAACAAACAAACAAATAAAATACTTCTCCCTTGAATTTTATGGGTCTGAACAGCATGGTTTTGGTTAAACACTGATTTTTTAAAAACAAACAAACAAATGCTGTGCCCCTGGCCACCCAGAACCCCATACGGTGGGGTCTTGACATGAGAACTTAATCCGTATTGGAAGGCGGTTCTCAACTCAAAAATAAATAAATAAATAAATAAATAAATAAATAAATAAATAAATAAATAAACAAACAAACAAACAAACAAACAAACAAACAAACAAACAAACAAACAAACAAACAAAATACTTCTCACTTGAATTTTATGGGTCTGAACAGCATCGTTTTGGTTAAACACTGGTTTTTTTTTAAACAAACAAACAAATGCTGTGCCCCTAGCCACCCAGAATCCCATAGGTTCAACACTGAAGGTATTAGTGGCCTATTGGTCCCCAAACAAAACTGTAAGTCAAGGGTCCACTGTAGGTTCAACACTGGAGATATTAGCGGCCTATTGGTCCCCAAACAAATTTTCTCTAATTCAGTGGCTAGATCAGAGGGTCATAAGGACCTTTAAGGCTCATTAAACACGGTACTGTATGGAAACTAGGACCATACGTTTAAGGCTCATTAAACATGGTACTGTATGGAAACTAGGACCATGACTAATGAGATTATGTGTAATCTAGATTGTGAACACTATGGAACAGAACTCCAACAGAGAGAACTGGGGGTGGGTGGGTGTGAATCAACTGTTTATGCTTTCCAGTTACATTTTGGAGGACATAAGAGTTCTACATGGATTCTAGACTAAGTGCCCCTAGCCTTAGCATTGGTGAAGGGAGAAGTGTACTTCTGATTTTGGAAAGGACTCCAGAATTCTATCCCTAGTTGCTCGGAATGCAGAGACATCCACCGGGGTGTGCTGATAAACCTGGTCTTACCAGTGCATGAGAAGAGATCACTGTGGTTGGGGTCAGAGTACTCCCTGTCCCTCCTGGAGCCAGAAGGCTGTTCACTGCTGCGTTTACTTTCTCCTGGGTTGGCAGCGAAGGCAGCTCCAGGACTTTGGGCTTCTTGCCCTTCTGGGGCTGTCCTTCAAGATTCACTGTGGCAACGGACGGGGGCTGCGTGTCGTCTTTTGGCAGTCCAGCTCCTTCCTCCTGCAACTCAGCCTCCAAGGACACCTTCTCCAGAGGAGTTTCCTCAACAAGTGGGGTTTCCTCCTTGACTGCAGCATCCATGACCACCAGCAGAGCAGCTGCCTCTTCTTGAAGGTCAAGACTCTCTTCGACTTTCACCAGCACTTTCTCATCAAGCGGTGGAGTCTCCAGTGGGGTGGGCTCCACCATGACCTGGATGAGCAGGAAGGAGAGCGTTATCGTCAGGTCGTCAGGCGGACTCACCCTCATGCGTATGAACATATTTGCTCTTTGCCCACCCTTTGCTAATAGCCAGCTCTGCTAACACCCAGTTAATCCCAGGTCAAGATGCATACAGAGTATCCCAGGCCAGCCAGGTTATTTTGGCACCGTGGGCAGAAAATCCCACAAGCATCTCCACCAATCCCCAGTAGTAAAGGTGAAACAACAACAAAGTAAATGATCTATCATTTGTGGCCCTTTCATTGAGGGGCTGGCACATCGTCTGACCAGGGAGGATCCTCAATTTGGGACAATGGGGTGAACCCTACCACCTGTTTGGATAACAGGTCACTAGTATCTTTCAAGACAGCTCACATCTGCTGTCCAAGGCAACCACCCCATTCTGGCTAATGGTAGGGCCAACCCAGGAAGAACAGGGTATTCTCCTGTTTCTTTCAGAGGCCCGTCAGATGCTAACAAGATGGCCTGGACATGCAGCCCACACCCCATTGTTTGTCCCCGGTGCCTGCCATTCAGAAGCACGCTGTCAAAGAAAAAGCGAATCTCACCAGGCCAACAAATAAGGTTGCTAGTAAAAGAGCCACAAGGTTATTCAGAGTTCCTTGACTGTGCCTCGTCCTGTCTGTATCTTGCCTGTTTCAGATGTCCTTCTCCTTACCCTATCTCATTCCATCCATTTCTCGGCCTTCCTCCTAACCACCTGTGCATCCTAAATCCTGCTCAGTCAATTTTATTTGCTTGTTGTCTCACTTTCTATCTTAGATTTTCTTAGATCTGTGCAAACATACCTCTTCAGCCTATGCTCCAGCTATGCTAATTATGGTCCAGCAAGTATCAGGAAAAACTTTCTAACTGTTAGAGCAGTACAATAATGAAACCAACTACCTCGAGAGGTGGTGAGTGCTCCAACACTGGAGGCATTCAAGAGAAACTTAGACAACCACGTGGCACAAATCAATATCCTTTGATTTGTATTCCTGCATCAAGCAGAGGGTTGATCTTGATGGCCATATAGGCCACTTCCAACTTCACTATTCTACGATTCGATAATACTATAAAGTCACTTTCCTATTGCTTTAGCTTCTTTGCAACACTTCTGGAATGGGGTTACTTAGGGACGTTCCAACTTCACTATTCTATGATTCTATTGCTTTAGCTTCTGTGCAACACTTCTGGAACGGGGCTACTTAGGGACGATTTTTGCATGACTGTGGAGAAATTCAATCAATGCAGCACATATTTGCATGCAAATTATGCCCCTCCACATATACAAAAGAAGATCTAGCAAATGGCCAAGGTAACATTATTGAAGTAGCCCACTTCTGGTTAAAAATAGTCTAGTTATGTTAACAATTTAATTTGTTTCCATTTTTATCTATATTTCATATACATCCATAATTTTAAATTGTGCAACACTCTGATATGACTAAAGAAAGAATTGCTTTAGCTAAAGTTTTTCTTATAGCAAATAAGAAATGCCTCCATTTTCTGACATGGATTAAGCTGTTTATAAAATCATTCACGAGTCACCTTTCAGCTTTGTTGTTGTTGTTTTGTCTGAGTAAAATTTATAATTTATTATTGGAAGCAGAGGAACAGAAGGATTTACTTAAAGTTATGGGAATGTGACTTGTGAGATGAAATAAGATGTAGTGCTTGGAAACTGATGTGGAATATTAGAATACAGTATTAAGATCAATGTCAATTTAGATACAGGAGAATTTATATAAGTTAGTGTGGAGATAGTACTTAACTGCAGGGAAGCTTAATCAAATAGATGATAATTATTCTAAAATGTGCTGGAGAGGATGCCAGAAAATAGAGACTTATTTTCACATGTGGTGGGAATGTGAGTATATACAATATATAAATTTTGGCAATTGATCTTTAAAGAAATAAATGAAATAAGCAATTAAAATGTAGCGCTATTTCCTAAAATAGCACTTTTATCAATATTCAAAAAGGAGATAGATGAGAGAACTAGTTTCTAATCTGTTAACAGTGGGAAGATTGATTATTGCTAGGAACTGGAAATCAGTTCATAATATACTGTTAAGTGACTGGTATAGAGATGTTGGGGATAATAGCAATTAAAGATGAACTTGCATGCAATAAAAGTTAAGCAGCAGGAAACTACTAAACATGTTTTTGCAGATATATGGGGAGCTTTTTATTTTTGTAATGATAAAGGGGAAAGGCAAAGTTTAACGCATGAGTTTATACAATTTTGGAAGAAGAAGGGGAGCCCAAAAGGGTAAATGGTTTATACAGTTACTCCCTAATAGTCCCGGCAGTGGAGTGCACTAAGTTTTTTCTCTCTCTTTTAAGTGTTCTTTACTAGATGTTTTAATGTTTATTAGTTGTTATATCCAATATTATTTTAAGATAAACATGTATTTATTATTTCTACTTCTATTCCCACTCATTAGTAAGAACACTCTCTGGGTGGTTCCAATCATACAGCAAAACCATACAATTAAAAAAAAAATCCAGAGTGTACAATAAATACAATAAAAATACAATAAACACCCTGTCACTACCTAACCCAATAAACCTACCTTTAAATAGAAATACACAAATTGAAACACATTGAAACAATTCAGGTCAATAGATCAGCACTAGTGGAAGGCAGCTTTACATAATTCCATCTCGATTAGCTTCCTAAAAAACGGAGAGGGGTGGCCCCGCCCGGGCGAACCTTCATGGGAAGTTTATTACAGAGGGAAGAGGCCACAATTGAAAAAGCTCAATTTGTGGTGTGAGCTTTGGAAGGCCCTCTTTGATATACATATTTTAAAAATTAAAGAAATATCACAATAAACCCGTTAAAAACAGCTCTTAAAACAGCAGAACGGTATTGAAAAATCATTCAAACGCCAGTGGAACAAAATGTTTTAAAACGTGAGCTTTGGAAGGCCCTCTTTGATATACGTATTTTAAAAATTAAAGAAATATCACAACAAACCTGTTAAAAACAGCTCTTAAAACAGCAGAATGGTATTGAAAAATCATTCAAACGCCAATGGAACAAAATGTTTTAAAATGGAAAAACAGCAATGCAGAGTCTATGTCTATGTAAATGTTGGCAAATGGTTTTTAAAGAAATTAATGAAATAAGCAAACTAAAATTGTATGTCCTAAAAGAGTGGTTTAATTAATATCTGAAAAGGAGATAGATAAGTGAATGATGAAAACACTTGTTTCTTATTTATTAAGAGTGTCACAACTGATTATTGCTAGGAACTGGAAATCAGTTCATAATATACTGTTAAGTGACTGGTATAGAGATGTTGGGGATAATAGCAATTAAAGATGAACTTGCATGCAATAAAAGTTAAGCAGCAGGAAACTAGTAAACATGTTTTTGCAGATATATGGGGAGCTTTTTATTTTTGTAATGATAAAGGGAAAGGCAAAGTTTAACGCATGAGTTTATACAATTTTGGAAGAAGAAGGGGAGCCCAAAAGGGTAAATGGTTTATACGGTTACTCCCTAATAGTCCCGGCAGTGTAGTGCACTAAGTTTTTTTTCTCTCTTTTAAGTGTTCTTTACTAGATGTTTTAATGTTTACAGTATTAGTTGTTATATCCAATATTATTTTAAAATAAACTATGTATTTATTATTTCTACTTCTATTCCCACTCATTAGTAAGAACACTCTCTGGGTGGTTCCAATCATACAGCAAAACCATACAATTAAAAAAAAAATCCAGAGTGTACAATAAATACAATAAAAATACAATAAACACCCTGTCACTACCTAACCCAATAAACCTACCTTTAAATAAAAATACACAAATTAAAACACATTGAAACAATTCAGGTCAATAGATCAGCACTAGTGGAAGGCAGCTTTACATAATTCCATCTCGATTAGCTTCCTAAAAAACGGAGAGGGGTGGCCCCGCCCGGGCGAACCTTCATGGGAAGTTTATTACAGAGGGAAGAGGCCACAATTGAAAAAGCTCAATTTGTGGTGTGAGCTTTGGAAGGCCCTCTTTGATATACATATTTTAAAAATTAAAGAAATATCACAATAAACCCGTTAAAAACAGCTCTTAAAACAGCAGAACGGTATTGAAAAATCATTCAAACGCCAGTGGAACAAAATGTTTTAAAACGGCAGCACTAAAAGTAACCAAAGGAACAGCCAACCTAAGCTACATAGGGAGGGATTTCAACATCAGCAGAGCCTGCTAATGAAAAGACCTTGTAAAATATCCCCACCAACCTGACTTCTCTTGGTGGTAGGTAAGACATGTTACAAGCTTTACACAGAAAACTAAAATAATGGTAGGATCATAGGAAAAGAGGGCATTTCTTAGACTTGGTGAGTCCCCCAATTTGATTATTCAACATAAACACTAACGTCTTGAATTGTGCCTTGCAAGTATTTGTTTAAGTTATTGTGGTTGGTATGCAGTCCAGTAATCTAATCAATAAAACAGAGAGCAGGAAGTAATCTAGATGTGAATCTAGAAGCAACTGGAGTCAGAGGAAGAGGTGGACTGATCTAGTAAGGGGCCCTTGTGGGCTCCATAAGGCATCACCTCTCCCCAGCTGTCATCCAGAATCCATTTTACCATGCTGAAGAACCTCATCACATCAAAAAAGTTGTAACTGAGCTTTGTTGTTTTGCTTGTTGCTTTCCTCCTCGTCCCTCCTTTCTTTTTGTATCAGAGCAGTTTAGACTGTAAACTTGAGGCAGAGACCAACTTGTCTTCTTTTACTGACATGTAAGTCACTCTGAACATCTTTCCATCTCCAAAGGTTGGCATAGATGTACACTGAGGATTAGAAAATCTATCAGCTTCATGTTCTGTTGCTTTCTACTTTTTTAAAAAACCACATGTTTTTCTTGTTCAAACTAGGCACATTTAAATTAGAGATGGGCACAAGCCTCAGTTGTGAGATTTGAGCCGGTTCATCAGCATGGCATTATAGGTGCTCCATGTGTCCCCTTCCCCCATCCCCCCCAAACGGCTCCCCCATTCACCAACCGGTGGGCACTGCTCTATCCCTCCTCTTTGTATGATCATCCAGTCTGAGCAGGAGTGTGTGCTTCCATCCTCTGCCCCCTCTAGCAGCCACCCACTCAAAAGCAGCACTGCAGGAATCCCTGCATCGCCTCCTTGTCTCAGTGGTCAGCTGTCAGAGGGGGCAGAGGAGGGAAGTATGTGCTCCTGCTCAGACTGGACGATTGCACGAAGGAGTGTGTGCTTCCATCCTCTGCCCCCTCTAGCAGCCACCCACTCAAAAGCAGCACTGCAGGAATCCCTGCATCGCCTCCTTGTCTCAGTGGTCAGCTGCCGGAGGGGGCAGGGAAGTACGTGCTCCTGCTCAGACTGGACGATTGCATGAAAAGGAGGGAATGAGCAGCACACATTGGCTGGTGAATGGGGGGAGCCTGCCGGGAAGGATGAGGGAAGGGGTCACAGGGGGCAGCTGCGGTGCCATGCTGACGAATCGGCACAAATCTCCAAACTGAGATTTCTGCCCATCCCTAATTTTGATGCATTTTTCAAAAACAAATCCAAACTAAAGTTTCACTTATCTGCTTTGGACATGTTTACTAAGTAAAGAGAGCTGAACGGAGGGGACCATGTTGCATCTAACTGCTACGTCTTTCTATATGTCTGCCCATCTGTCCTCATATCAGAGAACTGCACAATTTAAAATTATGGACATATATGCAATATAGGTAAAATTAAAAACAACTTAAAATGTTAAATATGTATCAAAAACTAATAAGTCTCCCTTGAACAAAGAGGTGGCAATTGTAACCCATCAACAATGTAGTTCAATGTAAAGTCATTTAAATCCAGATTTTTAAAACTTGATCACACAAAGCCGTGTGCTCAGGTTCTTCCCATTCTGAATGCAAAGGAATTTATGAATTTCATTGTCATAAAACATACATTGAAACAAAATTCCACCCTCGTATTTGATGTGTGCTAGAATGATTAAATGAAGGGCATTTATAAGCTTACATATATACGTTCAATGTAAAGTCATTTAAATCCAGATTTTTAAAACTTGATCACACAAAGCCGTGTGCTCAGGTTCTTCCCATTCTGAATGCAAAGGAATTTATGAATTTCATTGTCATAAAACATACATTGAAACAAAATTCCACCCTCGTATTTGATGTGTGCTAGAATGATTAAATGAAGGGCATTTATAAGCTTACATATATACTGTTATTATATTTATGCTTAAATTACATTTTAACAAAAATTTATGAATTTCATTGTCATAAAACATAAATTGAAACAAAATTCCACCCTCGTTTTTGATGTGTGCTTGAATGATTAAATGAAGGTCATTTATAAGCTTACATATATACTGTTATTATATTTATGCTTAAATTACATTTTAAAGAAACAAAAATGCAGTGATTTTGTAAACATGGGCTCAAACCTTCTTCCTTATGCTCAGGAAAAAAGCACTGTGTAACCATTAGAACTGAACTGCTACAAGTTACACAGATAGCATAAACATTCTCTCTTGCGTGTCAAGTTGTGCGACTCTGCACACAACATATTCTGTCTGCAGTACATTCATAAGACGCTAACAATTTTCACCCAAAATTTCTCACCAAAGTCACTATAACTTTTGGGGACTAAAGTTGGCAACTTAATGAAGTCACTGTAGATATAATTTATATTACGTCAGCATGAAATGCCAATAGGATTTTGGCCATCAACAATGAAAGAAAGCAGCTAGAATTTTATATGCTAAAAATTGGAAAAGATCAACGGTACCGAAACAAGAAGATCTTACTGAAAAGACACGGGAAATAGCCGAAATGGACATTTTATCAGAAGTCATGAAGGACTATCCCTTGCAAAAGGCAACAGAAAGATGGGATCTATTTAACAAGTGGACAGAATCAACAGGCAGCTTGTGAACAGTACATATTGAAAGGAGAACTGAATCTAGAAGGCAGAAAAGAGTAAATAGAATAATTTAAAATCTTGATATGGCAATAGGTACAGAATGGATGAAAGTATGTTATTGTCTCCCCTCTTCCTCATCAATCCCAATTCCCTTTTCCTTTTTGTTATCCCTTATAAAAAATAAAAAATACAAAGAAAAAAACAATGAAAGAAAGCATTTCGATTGGTGGATGAAAATGTAGGAAAAAAAATACTTGTCAAAAAATTGTACTGAGAAAAATTGTACAGAAAGATGTGTATTAATGTTTGTAATAAAAATTCTGTGTTCCCCGCAGGCTTGAGAACCACTGGGTTAATTTCCCTTCCAGCTGCCACAACCAGCCTTCCAGCTCACGGACATGTATGCAGCTCTCCTGATGCCACCATTTTGAAAAGCCAACACCTTCCACCAAGCAGGGAAGCTGCCGGAACGCCTTACCTGCAAGGGCTCCTGCAGCTCCTCGGGTTCCTCAATGCTGATGTGAAGCTGTGGGAGATCTTCAACTGGAGCCAAGGAAGGAGGGGGTGGTTCAGGGGCAGGAACAGCTGGGGGTGGCACCACAGCCAGGGGCTCTGCCTCATGGCGGGCCACCCGTCCAGCAGGCGAAGGCGTCTGTAGCGACTGAATAGTGAATGTGGAATAGAGCCCGGAGCGCATATATTCATTTCGACTGCTGCGTGGGGCACTCCCACCCCCACGGGGGGCTTTGGGGGTCCCAAACGGCCCCTCGCCCATTTTGGCCTCGCTCTGAACCTGCTCGGGCCTTTTCGTTCCTCCCTCGTCCTTCACACCTTCCATGTTTGAGAGTTCTGGGTAAGAGACAAACTTGTAGACAAATTTCTGCCCGCTGACTTTACGGATGATATTCTAGAAAGAAAAGAGGATACCAGAATTAGAACGGGCCACAGTAGAATCGGCAAGTTGCATCCGTCACACCCAGAGGATCTGCCTTTGATTTTTTTTTTTTCTGGAAAGAGAGGCTTGAGAAGAAAGGCCATGTGCTGGGGCTGGTCTTACTGCCAGACAGGCAACTGCCTCACACAGTAGATACAGGAAGCAGCAGCAAAAGCTCATGGCAATTTCCCTTTCTTAGAAACAGACATATGGAAGCCACATGACTTCTTCTAAACTACCCTGCTGTCACATATGTTGGTGTTGTGGAACACTCCCCTGCCGGTGGTGTGACAGTTAAGATTTAAAAACAGTCTCTCTGGTTTCTAGACATGGAATTAAGAGGGTGCACCATCTTCTACTTCACCTTAGGCAGCAAAAGGCCTTGGGTTGGCCCTGCTATGCATGCTGGAACATGCTAAACTACAGGCACTCATAGATGCCCATGTCAACCCTTGCTCTGTGTACCATACTAATCAAAGCTACATTATCTGTGATTTTTTTAAAGTCCTTCACAATTAGATACCAGAGTAAACTCCTATTCAGTATCAAGAAAATATGCGTTTTCAAAACTAAATAAATTATTAAATTCATTTACATATATATTCCTCATTCAGGGAAGGCAGGAGACAGAGGGCAATCCCATCACTCTCTCAGGCAGCAGATGCTAGAAGCCAAGAGTGCTGAGCCCTCCTCCTGAATTCCCTAGCCACCTCTCTCTCTTGGATGACAAAGCTGTGTGAACTTTCTTCTTCTTCTGGTGTTTAATGTTGAAACCGGGTCTTTTCCTCTGTAAACCTGACAACCTGGCTTCCTTCAACTAGCCTGCTTCCTTTGGCTGTGATGGGAAGTGCTATATCCAGCTGCCAGGGTCAAAATAAGATTCAAATGCTTAGTTTGGTTGGTTGCTGTATGCGAAATGGTTATGTGAGTGTGCCATTTTGGTCCTCTGCAGTTAAAAAAAAAAGACATTTACTCAGGAAATGAAATGTCTTAGACACTCACTTGGAAAAGACAATAGATGGCTTTTGTTCTTTTTCATGGGACCATCCTACTGGGACTTTCCTGGGAGCATAGAGCAATATATGACCGCAATACACTGAGCATGTACATGGAACACAACTCAGCCCACACACTGTATCTTTTCCCCACTTGCACTCAAACACTACAGACTTCGCAGAATTCTGAGCTTTACCCTTGTATCAAAACTTGGAAATGCTACATTTTGGGCTTATGAATCCCGGAAGTCCCCAACTAGCATGGACAACACGATTTGGAGATGGCCCAGCTGTTAAAATGCACCCAACAGTTGCAATGGCTGCTGCCAACGTTGTAGGGGTCACATCTCATGCTGTCTCATCCAAAGCCAACATGTGGCACATAGGGAATTTTTCTAGGCTATATACTGTTACTGGGACTGTGGCAGTCTCACTCCGCTACACTGGGTATTGGGTTTTTTTTTTAAAAACTGGCTCTATGCATATGTTGCCAGGACTAGTGTAACAAGAAGGCTCATGAGTTGCAATGCTGTCCTTATTCTCTGCTTTGATTCAACTTCAGTGATCCCTTGCACGAGCTGAAAATACATGGAAATGACTACCCACACTGTAAAACTACCTCTCACACACAAATCAAACTTTCTCTTCCTTCAGAGCTACATGGCCTGGGGTCTGTCTCCCCATTCAAAGATCATGGAATACACCACTAGTTGCCATGTCTTCAGCCAGTGCTGAGACATGGCAACCCTACTGCAGACTCATCTTGAAAAGAGTGGACTGTAGGGGAAAGCAAGGCAGGGAAAGCGCCTCTTGCAAAAACAAAACAAAAAACTCATAGGAAGCAACAGGAAGACCAGATTGCAGGCTCCCACCTTATCATAGTAGTAACGCAAGGCCCGGCTCAGCTTATCATAGTTCATGTTGGTCTTGTTCTTCCGCAGCCCCCAGAGTCGTGCTACCTCTTCTGCATCAACGAGCTTGAACTCCCCGTCATTGGATGTCCATGCAATGAGGTGACCATTGCTCTGTTGCTCCAGCAACTGTAGCAAGAACTGCCATAGAGTGACAGAAGGATCCATGACTAGAAAGAGAAGACGGGGGAAGAAAAATAGACAAAGAGAATACAGCATTCGTTAACACTCATTGTGACATGGCACAGACCCTGGAAATAACATGGCAGTTCATGTCTTTATTTATTTATTCATATTCATTATTAGTAATGTTTATACCTCACCGTTCCCCCAATAAGCTCAAGGGAGTGTTCATGGCTCTCCTCTCCTCCCATTCACCCACTTAACCACCTTTTGAGGGAGTTCAGATTGACAGCAAGAGTTGAGATCATCTACTCAGTTTCATGGCTCAGTGAAGACTTGAATGTGGATCTCCGGATGAGGACTCTAACCACTACACACCATACTGGCTTGTATCAGTAGAACAAACCACTACAGCAGAAGTCGGGAGTAGCTGGTCTTTCACATCGCTTCAGACGACAACTTCCATGGCTTCATCCTATTGGCCCACCTAGCAGAGGCTTCTAGGATTTGGAGTCAAAAACATTTGTAAGGCCAAATGTTCCTCACCAGGGCAATAAAAGCTGGGTGTTAGGTTTAGAAAATGAATATATTACTATTTCAAGAAATGAGGGGAAAGGGGGCGAAAGAATTCCCCAGTCATGGCAGGGGAGTGGGGACAGGTGATGGAAACGTTTTGGCGGAAACTTTCATCTGCTCAGCTTAGTTTTTCTACGCAGGGAGTTGGTTTCCCCCTTTTTTTCCTTGGGAAAATCCGTTATAGGATTTCCCCACTTGCTTCGTGAATTGGTACAGTCCAAAGAGACAGATACCACCTGGCTCTGCTGTGCATAGAAAGCCATGGCTTGTGAGCCCTGTTGTCCACTTACCATTTTGGGGGGAATGTTGCTTCTATCTTATTGAGGTGAGAAGCAAGCGAAAATGTAGGCCTGATGCAATCCCCTGCTTTTGTCCCTGAGTATCACAGACATCAACTTGTCATGACCACTTGGGAAACCAATGATGCAGGGTGTTTAAACAAATATTTACTGTAGAACTTATCCCGGAGCCAGCCCTATCCTTAGGCAGAGTAAAGCAGCTGTCTCTCAAGCAGTTCTCATGACAGGACAGCAAGCAGTTACTATTTATTCTGGGTTCATTTTCTTTCTGTCAGGGTTGGAGCAGGGTGCCCGTGGGAGCGTCTGCCTCATGTGTCACAGTAAGTTGGCTAGCTTTTAGTACTATGCACCTTGACTAGGGAAAGGGCACTTTCCTCAGGCAGCCAAATGTCTTGGACCATTCCTAGTTTCCCCCAGGAATTCTGTACAAAGTGTAACTTTGGGAATGGTGGCCAATTAGCCATCGTTTGTTCAGGATCGCCTCATGGAATTTTAATCCCCAGATTCTTGGGGAATATTTAATGACAGTACGACCAGCAACTGTAGATGTAGCTCAAAGTGCCATATCTGCACCAAATTCCACATACAGTAAGACGATAGTATGGGTACTATTTTCTCAATCATTTGTATATACCTCTGGGTGCAGCGAATTAGAGAGGCTTGTAGCTCTAGCTGACACTTAGCATTCAAGTTACTACCAGAGGCCGTTGGAAGCAGTAGCTGTGAGCCCATTTCCTCCCTGGCATTTGCCCCTTCGATACTACAGGGACCCTGCTTTGTATCTCTTTACCTCCATAAGTTAAACAAGCATCATGATATTGTACTCTGTGCCATCACGTCAATTCTGATTTATGGAGACCCTTTTCAAGATTTTCCAGTTACTCAGAAGTGGCTTTCCGTTCCCTTCTTCTGAGGGTGCCCTCAGACTGTGCAGCTTGCCCAAGGCTGGCTGTACTCATAGGAGGCACAGAGGAGAATTGGACTCCCAATCTCTGCTAGAAACCTAACTCGCATTCAGCCGGCACAAGCATCACTATTCATGGATATATTTTGTTGTGACCCACAACTTTTAAAAGTAATTTTCAACAGAGGTATGTTAAGATTTAAAAAAAAAAGAAATAATACCAAATGCAAAAGATAGCTGGTCTGTCTTTTCCAAAAAGAGAACAATTTGCCTGACATAACCAGGTTGAAAAAAAAACCACTCCATCACTGTCAACTGGGTGTGCAGTATCAACTAATCCGTTTGGAAGTGCTTTCTTACTGCAAATATAGTCCTGACCCAGTTCTTGGGAATGATGATACACCTTGTGTTGAGATAAACCTATTATAACAAAACAATAGGTTACAATGGAGCAGACATCCTTCTGATTAACATTATGCCACCCTCTGAAAAAGCTACTATAATAGATGTTGCAATATGTCTCTCTCTTTCTCTCCTCTCCGCCCATCTCTCTTTCTCTCTCACACACAGAGAGGAAGGATGATGCAGGAAGGTCAGATAGCAGGCTTTACCTTGCCCTAATTTAAAAAAGGCACAGTCTAGACTTGGAGGAGAAAGGCCTGTCTGGAAATAATATGTAACTCTTACAGGCGGCCTCTCAATGTCACCAATAATAACTGTTCCAAATGACCTGAAAATGAAAATGCAGGTGTCAACAGTCCCATTTAGTCCAACAGAAGAAGATTTCATTCTCCAGTGTTCCAGAAGAGCACCGGAATAGTTCTAAACAGCAATTGGCACTCCGGTCAGTGTGGCGTAGTGGACAGAGTGTTGGGCTAGGATTCACAATACCAAACTCAGCCTTGGAAAGTATTGGGGTGTGGGTGTGTGACAAAAATAAAACCTTCAATACCTCACATATCTTGGAAACCCAACTAGAGTCTCCATAAGTCAGAACTGACTTGATGGCACATAATACACACATTCCTTATACAAAGGGAGAGGGTTAGAATATCACCCATTTGCATGAGCACCAAAACTTCAAAGATAAAGATTTATGGTTTGGTGGAAGAATCAGAGCAGGGATGGGTGTCTCTCCAGATATTGCTGGACTGCAACTCCCAGGATTCATCTGGAAGGTCACATGATCCCCACTGCTACCTGACAGTACGCATAACAAAACCATTTAAACTTTGACAGGGTAATAATGGATGAGCTGACTGGATAGTTCAGCAAACTGAATACCTGGCTCTGGAGAGAGAGGTTAGGAGTTCAATTCCCCCAGTGTTTCTCCTTAGAGAAACTTTGACAGGGTAATAATGGATGAGCTGGCTGGATAGTTCAGCAAACTGATACGGCAAGATCTACATTCCAGGAGTTGAGAGAGGTTAGGAGTTCAATTCCCCCAGTGTTTCTCCTTAGAGAAGAGCCAGCCTTTGTGGCCTTGAGCAAGCTACACAAACGCAGGGTGCTTCCAGGAGAAGGAAAAGGTAAACCACTTCTGAGTGCTCTGTATTTAGAACATCTTGGAAATGGTCACCAGAATTTACTTCAAAGCACACAACCGCTATTACTATTATTAAATGATGAGTGGGCATCAAGGCAGTTATACGCACACCTAGTCTGACTTCTGTTGAGATACGGCAAGATCTACATTCCAGGAGTAAAGCCAAAGACTTTACAAAAGGGGTGGGTTCTGCGTGAATGTGAATTTTAAAGAGGTGGCACTATGCAGACAGTTTGAGGAAGAGGTTTTAGGAATAAAAAGAACAAGCAAGGAAAGGACAGAGGCATGTAACTGTCATTTTTTGCTTTATATACACTTCAAACAGGAGGTAACACTCACGAGAATATCCAATCTCAACATTACAGTCTTGGAGCACATGGACCAAGCAGTAGCCATTGGCACGTGAGCTCCTGAAGGGAGGACACGAAACAAATTTACAGGGTGCCTTGGACTCCAGTTGAATGCAAGATAACCTGAACTACTGCACAACAGAACTACAGGATCCTGTTCTGTTTTGAACAGGCTGGGCCATGCACTGGAAACAAGAGACATAAAAGGCAGCAGGGAAGCTATCCTATGGACACAAACATACGACCCAATCAAAGATAAGTGGGGAGAGCTGGAGACTGGCCCAATTATAATTATAATCTAAAGTCGTCCTTGTCTCATATCCTAACAATAGATCCAAACAGTGATTAATACTTAAAAACAGAATTTGCTGTTAAGTGCCATCAAGTCAGAACTGACATTATATCAGCAGCTCTAATAGATTTTTTAAGGTAAGGGGGGGATATTTAAAGAGTGGTTTTGCCAGTTCCACCAGCACCCCTGTGAGTTTTCATGGGACAGCCGGGGAATCAAATCCAGGTCTCCTGAGTCCCAGTCCAGCTACTATACCATAATGGGGTATCTTGCCCCCCCCCGTCCAAAAAAGAAGACGGGGTAAAAAGTCATACTCTCTGCCTGGAAGGCCCTTCCTCTCACACCAGGTATGTGGGGAACTGTTGTAGGAACTCAATGTGGAACAAAATATGGCACACGATCAAGGCTGCCCCCCGACTGAATCCTAGCCCCTCTTCCCACCCTAGCTTCCTTTGGCTCTGCACCCCTAGCAAACAGATAAAGAACCATCTTCCGTGACCCCTTTGCCCGAGTTTCATGTAACAGTTCCTGTATAGACGTAATGTGGGGAACCCCTCCCTAGCCTTCCCTGGTCCCCATTGAAATGATGGGGGGGGGAGTTAGCTCTTCTAGCAGCTTGCGGTTTCTGACTTTAGGGGAAAGGCCTGCATGCAGAGCTGGAAGAGAGGAGCTGCAGGGATTGAATGAAGAACAGGCTTATTCGCCCACTCACTCATCTCCTCCTGTTTCCTCTCTCTGCTCCCCCCCCCCCTTCCACCTTGCCATGAATATCTGGATTTGGCCTAAAGAAAGGATTTTCTGGAACTGGATTGAATACAAAACCTCATCAAATGCTGTAATCCGGGAGATAATACAGAGAGTGGAGGCGGTAAAATAAGCTGGGGGGGTAGAGTCCTGGGTAAGATTGGGGAATGGCAGCAAGGGAGATGTGGGTAGAAAACAGGTAGGGCCTAGAAGAGAACAAGGCAGGTCCAGGAGAAGCCTCTTGAGTCCAGCACTATCCTTAAGACTCCAAAGAAGGGATGACCTGAGGCTAGGAAGACACCAGTTGAGGAAGTGGGCCAGGCAGGGTTCCCACAACAGGAAGGCCAGGGAGGGGGGCAGCTTTTGCAGGGAATAAATGACGTCCCAAGAAGTGGGGAGTCTACAAGAGTCTCTGTTCTAAGTAGGAACCAGTTTTAGGGTGATAAAGTGCCACTGACTGAGATCTCTTCTCTGAATACCTGGGCAGCCCTCCATGCCCAGCAAAAGGACCCCCCCCCACCAGATGAATCCACACGAACACAGGAGTTCCTGAACTAAACGTCCCCTTTTTCACCACAGACTCAAATGCCAACTGGTTGGGGGCAATCAGTTTGAAACTGCCTTCGGTTCCACCTGAGGCTGGAGGCGGGAGAAAGAGGGGGCTCCCTTCTTGCTTTGAACCGGACAAGCCGGGCGGTGGAAGGCAGGCAGGATCCTTTGATCCAGACTGACATGGACCTCTCTTTCCAGGGGGTTTCTACCCTTACACGGGGAGGGAGGGAGGCAGGGAGGGAAGGAGGGAGCAAGGATCCGAGAGGTAGGGCCGGAGCACTGGGTGGATGGGTGGGTGGGTAGGAAGGGGCGCGGAAAGGGTCTCCCCCCTCCCTCCCTCTACTCACCAGTGAGCATGGCAGCACCCCCGGCGCCGGACCCGGGCGGCTCCATGGGCTGGGCGGGGCCCCCCAGCTCGGCCGCCCTCGGGGGTGGGTGGGCTCCCAGTCCGCTTCCTGCTTCCCAGCGGCGGGTGTGGGGGATCGGCTCCTACCCCCGCTTGCTCTTTTCTCTCCCCAGGTCGTTGCCGGCGTCTGGAGTGCCCGCTCTTCGCCAGGGCACCTTTTCTTCTCCTCCTCCTCCTCCTCTTTCCAGCACCACCACCACCACCGGACCACCCCCTAGGCACTGGACCCCGTTCGCCTCCTCCTGACCGGTCCCGCTTCCTGGGCGGCTTCGAGTTGCTGTCGGGATCGATGGGGGAACAGAAGTGGGCCTTCGCGCGTGGGTGGCTGGCGGGCGGGCGGGCTGGTCCGGTGTCCCCCGCCAGGCCCCCTGGTCGCCTGGAGGACCGCGTTTCCACTTGGCGTGGGTGGCTTCGGGGTGTGCTGGGGAGGGGGGATGGGGTGTGTGTGTGAGTGAGTGTGTGTGTGAGAGTGAGTGGGGGGGCAGGCGGGAGTGAAAGTGCGGGAGAGGGAAGGAGGGGGCGGATCCTCGCCTCTTCCTGCCTCCGACGGAGCCCCGCAGGCCGCCGGTTACCTCGTCGGGGATGCAGCGGTGACGGCGCCCGTCACATGGAGAGACCAGAAGGCGGAGCCGGATGCCCGGACGCCTGGGTCCTCCGCTCGCTCCGCTCGAGCTTTTTTTTCTTTTTCTTTCCCCTACTCCGTTTGCAAGGAGGGAAGTTCCCGGCAGGGCGTCCTGAATCCTCCTGGTGGGAGTGTGGGAGCGTGCGAGGGGAAGGGGAAGAGGGTCCGGCTCGTGTCACAGGAGTGTGTGCGTGTGCGTGGGGTGCTCTTAGAAGGGTTTAGGGAAAGAACCCGAATCCCTGGATCTTCTTCTGGTTCAGAGATAAAAGGGCATCGGTCGAATCAGAGTCCAATGATTCTCCGCTCTGGGAAGGGGGAGGGAAGGGGAGACGACACGGACACCCCGGAGTCCTGGATTCATTTCTCGGGGTGAGAACACCCGGACTCCGGGGTCCCCAAGGTTCCTGGCTCCGAATCGGCGAGAGTCGATCAGCCCTCATTTCCGAGTCCCCTCTCCTGCAGCTGCGGGAAAGTGCTTCGATGACCCGGCACGGAGCGGTGCTCGAACGAGGATGGGAAGAAAGTTGGGTGTGTGGGATGAAACGGTACTAGGATCCCAAACCCTTAAACCAGGTGGGCTCGGGCTATGGGTCCAGGTGGAAGAGCGGGAGAGATCCCGGAACTCCCGAGGCTGACCCTTGCGCCGGGAGGCCAGAAGGGAAAATTTTGTTACAATGTAGCTATTACTGTTATATGCCGTCAAATTAGAACTGACCTACAGTGATCCTAATTAAGGAGAGCTTTTAGCAAGTTCCACTCCCCCAGTGAGCTTCCATGTCTGAATACGGGATTCGAACCCCTTGCCTCCTGAGGCCCAGTCCGTCATTCTGTCCACCACACCGCACTAGTTCTCCAAAATACAGCCTTCGAACTCGGAAATATTACTTTTTGGACTACAGTTCCCAGAATCCTCCCAGACAGCATATTGGCTGGGGATTCTGGGAGTTGTAGCCCCAAAAAAGTAACATTTCCCAGATTTATCTATCCTGGAAACAGTGTGTACAGAAAGAGGCTGAGAGCCAGGACACCTGGGTCCTCCTCACCCTTGCGCTCTTAATGGGGGAAAAGAGATTATAACACACACACCCCGAACCGCGGGCACAAGGGTGGCCGACGGTCTCCTGCCTTTCTCCTGCCCCAGCCTTGAGAAGGGGCGGCTCACCCACCACCTCTCCTTGCAGTCAGCCCACGACCTCCTCGCCTCCCCCCCCCGCTCGCGCTTGTTATTATTGCGCTCCCCCACCGTTGCCATGGCAACGGAAAGCTACGACCACGGAGGGAGGCACGGAGATTGAAAAGATGAAAGAGTAAGCGAGCGAGCGGCAAAAAAGGTTGCTGCCATGGTAACCTCCGGCCCCGGAGGAATGGGAGGATTGTCAAGGGACCCAAGGCCTCCCAAGCCCTCAGTTGCCTCGGAAACCGGGCTGATGTGATGGAGGGGGATCTTGGTCCTATAGGAGGCGCCACTTTCCCTCCTCCTAAAGGAAATACAGAGCGCTTTTCTCTGGCTATTTATAACATTTTCGACATTTGTCAGGATAATAAAGAGGAGCAGTGGGGAACCAATGGCCCTCCAAATGTTCATGGAGGACACCTGCTATTAGCCAGACCACTGTCCATGTCAGATGGATCTGATGAGCTTTGGACACATCTTATGGCAGGCTTGAACTCCTGCATCTTGTTTCTCGGATTACGTAAATTTGATAGTCCACTGTCCATCACGCTTTCTCTAAGATCCAGTGTTTCTAAACAGCATACAGTATAAGCACAGACTTTTGGAGGTGCTGAGAATGGTGTGACCTGGATTATATGCTGTTCATCATTTATTAATGCATAGAAACCACGTAAATGGTATAACTCATACATGTTCAAGAGCTCTACCTTATCATAAATTAATCCAGTGCTGTCACCTTTGAGTGACCCAGGGTTTTCTAGATGTTAAACACTTCTGGTGATACTCTGGAACTATACAGCTTGCTCATGGTCAAAAAGGCAATTCTCACTGGTCAACCAAACTCCTGTCTCCTGGCTCTGTAGCCAGGTGCTCCAAACCACCAAGCTATCCCACTAAACTATTGAAACCTAGTTGTGTTTGTGAAAACCCACTCTATGAACTGGAAGAGCAAAAACAAGAGTATGTGGCTCTTAAATGATTAGCACTTTTCTTTCACTGTGGATATAATCATATTTCTTCCAAGCACAAAACCTCATAATGAAATAATTTTGTTAGTGCGAAAGGTGTTTAAACATTTTTCTTATTGCTGAAACACATTAATACAGCTACCCCACTGATTTGAAAGAGTTTCCATCAAATACCTAAAGAGCGGAGTCTTTTTGTGGTTACCCAGTGGTAGAAGAAATATTATTTTGCTCAAAAATACTTCAGTCTTTCTTAATTCATATGTTTCAGGCACACATTCTGGAACTGAATCTAAACCCTGGCAAGCCATCACACAAAACTGTCCTTTTGCATATCGCAAGCAGAAAATATGTTGCAAAACAAGTTTCTCTGGATTTTCTTGCATGGCAAAATTGTACATATGAACAATTTTTCATCAATCACAAGGATGCACCATGGGGTTTAAATGAGACTTACATTGTTTTCTTAGTTCCAGTTCTCAGTTCTTTCATTCAATGAAATTATCAAACTCACTCATTCAGCTGAAAGAAGATGGCTCTGAACCCAAAATTAGCCTTATAATTACTTCATGTTGCATATACCATGATCTGGAAACTCTCCCCTTTCAAATAAAAAAAACACTTTGTAATCACTTCAGAGAAACACGCATAAATATGTGATGTCTGCTGTTGACAATATTAAAGAACTGACACACTACACCATAGAATAAGCTGGGCCATGCCAATTGCGCACCCCATCAGCCAGAGGAGTCTTCTGTGAAATGTCATAGTCCGCTCTGACCGAAAGCTGTTTCGACACACACAGCACCATCAGATGTGCCAACCCTTGATGGGAAAACAAACAAACAAACAAACAAACAAACAAAAAACACGGAAAAAAGATCTTAACCCCACACTTGGCTCTGAGTCACCTCAAATCATCCTAATGCCTAATTGCCTAATACCCAGGAGAGGGTCATCTCCAGGGTATCACAGACTACATAAAATCCGTATTTCCAGATCTTAGCATAATTGTGCAGATGGCTGTGTTCTAATTGTCATCCGCAGCCATTAAATCCTCAAGTGTTTCCCAAAATGCCTATATTGACTGGAAAGTTTTTTAAAACTTTACCTGGAAAGGGAAAGGTTTCTGCTCATGAGAATATGCAGCAATCATCAGCTTAATTTTGGATTCAGGATGTCCTTTTTCCAGCTGAATATGTGAGCTTCATAATTTCACCCAAATAAGGAAAAACATCAGCAGTTCATTTCAGGCAATATTGCAAATTAAATGTTTTGCGAAAGAGAAGTGCGCTGTTAATAATGGTCTGTTATTTTGAAGAAGAAGAAATACTGCATTTATTTGTTCTCTCTTCCCAGCCTAGAAAGGTTATTTGATGTGTAGGATAAGGGGCCTAGCTATTTGATCTTTCTACCACTTTGTATTTAATCATTACACATTGTACAAGATTCCTATGATTATACTGTAGTCTCCAAGACTGAGGACAAAAAAATAGCTGAACTAGATCTTGAGTTCTTTGAAGTAGAGATATATATGTAACTAATTCTTAGTAAAGAGTAGCTAGCTTGCTGTTGCTTTAGCAATCTGGTATTTCCTTCCATTTATTTATTTATATTTAAAGCATTTATTAGTTGCTATGCAATCCTACAGAATAAAAAAAATACAAGAATCTGTTCAAGACAAATTTGACAAGTACTTTGCATTTTAGCAGTACAGTAGTTTACAATATACTGTAACTGAGAAAACCCCTGTGTGATATTTCTGTGTGAAATGCCACAAGAAATAACTTACTTAAGAAACTGGCTGGGTCACACTAGGGTACACATCCACGAAGAATAAGAACAGCAGTGTTATCCCTATACTACTTCACAGCAGAATGTGTTAGTGCTGTATGGTATAAAACAGCACATGCCAAACAAGTGGATGTAGCTCTTAATGAATCATGCAGGATTATTACTGGCTGCCAGAAACCTATGCCCACTGAAAAATTGTATTATCTGGCTGGCATTGCCCCTCCAGAAGTATGTTGAGAGGTGCTGGCAAATAATGAACAAAATAAGGTAATACAGCACCAACCCCTAGATCAGAGGTCTCCAAACTACTGCCTGTGGGCCACAGCCTTGCCTTTTCATCTGGCCTGGTCTGGTATGCAGGGGATCCACAGCTGCCTAGAAGGGATGGAAGTGACTCTAGGACCTTTCCCACCCTGCCCCCACCTACCCGCCTTCCCTAACAGCACCTGGCAACAGGATTGGTCTCCCACTTGTCCCCTGCCCTCTCTCTCTCTCAGCCTACCTGCCACAGGGAAACAACAAAGCTCCCACCCTTTCCCAGGCTTCTCTCGCTCTGGCTTGAAAGGACGCTTCTTATTGGGTGGTGATGGGATGTGGAAAGATATGGACTCTGAGAATGATTTTTCCCCATCCGGCCCTCGAAAATGTGTAAAATATATGGTGTGGCCCTCATACTGAAAAGTTTGGAGGCCCCTGCCCTAGATGATGGCTAAAATAAAAGATTTTAAATGGGTGAAGGGTGCTAAAATTTGCATCCATCACAAGCTCAAAATATTAAACCAAAAGGGCTAGGCTAAACCTATGAACAAAAGCAACACACTTTGTCAAATGGATGAATGAAGAGTGTCTCTCCTACCAGGACTTTGGCTGGAACATCTGGAAGTCACTTAATGTATGTTGAGGCAAATTAGGAAGATCAAAAATAATCAAGTAAAATAAGGCTACTTGGAGACTGTTAATGCATGCCAAAAGATAATCTAGCCCACTTGTGGTCAAAAATAATCTAATTATCTTAACATTTCAATTTGTTTTTAATTTACTTATATTTCATATATGTCCCTAATTTTAAATTGTGCAACACTCTGATATGAATAAGGAAGACCTGTATGATCAGACATTTCCTTTTCTGCTTTCAGACTGCAACCTCAGATAGCTAAAGAAGAGAGTTACAGTTTGCATTTGGATTCTGATGTCTGGAATACCCTGCCACCAAGAAGAGTTCTGCATATGGCAAAATGTTTGGGAAACCCATTATAATTTTGCGAAAACCAGAAGTACAAAAGCAGGAATATCAATGAAATTAAATGGAACAGATAATGAAGTAGTCCTTGGCTGACAATTAATTTTAAACAGGCCATGCCAGCTACAGATTTTGGAGTGGGGTGGGAGCTCTTTGATAGAAGACTTTGTCATTAGCAGCCCATGTCTTTGAAGATTCCCACCTCCTCTTCTCTACCGCTACTGCTATTGTCCAGTTGTTCCTTTCTTTCTTCTGGGTCCAATAAGTAGCACATCCTCGCCTAGCTCTTTTGATCAAACAGCCAAGGACAAAGCCATAGGGTTCATCTGATCAGCAACGGGTGCCCTTATTGGACCTTGGATCTTGGTGCACACTCAACAATGCCTAATCCTGTCACCTTTCCTGAGTTGGACCCTATTTTCAACTGAGCAAGGGCCTGAAAAGCCTCCTACATTAGATCCACCTATTAAAGCATTCCCACAGTAGTCAAGTCACAAGTAAAAAACCCTCATCAATGTTCTCCCAATGGAAACTTTAGCCACACTCTTCTTTTCAGACATCTCACTGGCTTTTCTGTGTATTTTGACATCTGCATGAGAAGAAGAGGCAAGGGTGTTCATATTACCAGGAAGACTTCCTTGGTTGCAACTCTTTTTGGACAAATGTGCCTGAGGTGCATAACTGCCTTGAATTTGTTTAGAGGAAAGAGGTGTTGCCACAATAGGCATCGGACCCTGACCCTATGTTGAAATATCATTGTCAAAAATACAACCAGAAGAGATTTTACAGCAGGTTATCTGCTCTTCAACAGTTGGCAACCACTGGTGAGTTCAGAAAGAACAACCAGGAACATTTATTCTGTCTATTAACAAGACTTGGCAAAGGTATTAAACTAGTATGGAAGTGGCGAGGTAAGGATAACTCTCTCCCTAGCTTAATTACTCCTTCTGCTTCCTGAGACACTTCTAATACTCAGCAAGGTAACAGATATTCCTGTTTCAATCAAGATGTAATGGACAAAGATTAATAATAAAAAGGAAGTGGATGAGTGGAGATGTGGGACAAAAGGACCAACATCTTAGAAAGCAAAACTTTTATTCTTGTTAACAATTGAGATGTATTTTTTCCTCAGAAACACTGCTTTGGTGAGCAGAGATAGAAAGGGGGCAAGTATATGGGACAGAGAATTCAACTAGTCAATCTCACTCTAAGAATAGTTGCCCCCTTCACAATGTCCTATCACTGTCTCATGTTCACCATATCACACTCAGAAGTGTTCTGCCAGCTAGATGCACAGTCCCTGCTGCCATCAAAATGCCCAAGTCATGACCTCTTCTTCCAGCATGCTGGGAAGTTCCTTCTGGATAGGCAAGGCTAGTAGCCTAAAGAAAGATGTCCCTTCTGGTCTCCTCAGGCAGATCCTTGAGACCCTGGAGTTCACGCAAGCCCTGTTGCCAGAAAGTGAGATGGGAGACACACATTTTGAGCCTGGATTTCTGTACCAAAAATATTTACAAGACAACCTGTCTTACATTCCTGGTAGCACCCCAAGGAGAAGCAGATAATCCGTATAATCTCATGACAGCACACTTTGTCTCCTTCACACAGCCATGGATACTGCTCTGCCTGGCTCCTCCTTTTCCCTACTTGGATCAATTAACACCTTCTAATATACCACATGCCCCCCCTTATTCTGCCATAACAAAAGTACTGTCAATGCCACCCTACCTCTAAAACCATCCGGATGTTGGCTTTAATCTTGGCAGAATCTTTGGTGAGGGTTTCGCTGAGCCTGTTAGGAGACAAAAATCCACAGAAGCTAAGAAAGAGTGGACTCGGCCTATAAATTTCGAAGCTCTTAGACAAGGGGTGTATAATGTTACTAGAGTGCAGCTCCCATCAGCCCTATTCAATACAATGTTGAGAGATGATGGATGTTACCGTACAACGTTGGAGGACCTCAAGTTCCCTACACCTTTCTTAGAACAATCATAAGTGTACTGAGGGGGCTGACTCTTTTGCAATGTAGCTAGGTATACCCACTGAGCTTGCAAAAGACTGCAATCCTATGCACATTGACCAGACAGCAAGCCATATTACTACAGTGGAACTTCATAAAAACAAAACATATCCTGAAATTTTTAAGCAGCACAAAAAAGGGGACAGGTGCCTGTTTACAGCTGATAATTTTTACCTGTGCTGGACTGGCTCCATGCATACATATAACTGATTTAAGTCATTTTCATCTATGCTGAAACACCATCCAAATATATAGTTGCATTAGTGTACAAAACAGCCTGCCTCTTTATTTGACAGCACAAGGGGGGCCTCCCCAGATACTCTTTTAATCCTACATGTTCCAGAACCAGATGCCAGCACTAAAAGCATGTCCAGGAGCCAGGTCCTATCCCAAATCCTATAAGTAATGCTTACAGCTTGGCCCTTTCACCCTTTTGGAGTGCTGAGACAATGCCCTTTGACAGACAGCAGAAATGAAAGTGTAACTATATTGGCTTCCCAAAGAATCCTGAGCCCTTTACTAAAGCGGGCCCTGATTATTTGGTATCAGCTATCTCTTCCACATAGTACTACAAGTCCCAGAGTTCCATGCAGTAAGATAGTGACTATTAAACTAGCTGAAGGTGGTGGTAGTTATGCTCGAAAGTAGGCCTGGGAACATCTGGCAGACCAGATATTTTGGACTGCAATCTCATAATCTGTTCTCATTGGCCATGCTAACTGGGACTTCAGAGAGTTGGGAGTCCAAAAAAACTAGAACTCCAAACATTCATACCCCTACAAGAACACTGCAGGAAAATTAAAAGCCTGGAACCTATCTGGCCAGCAGGCTATATATTTGATCAAGCTCACCCTAATTTCACAGCTCTCATCACTTATCATGATCAGCAGCAGTCAGAAACTAATGGCTGATGGAAAAAAATGACCTTGCAAGCTAGAGAAAGATGAATTAAATTGTCCAAAGGGGAACCCACAAGAACTGAAATGTCCTTGGGTTGTAAGGAAGCAGAAGTGGAAAGGTTGGGTCCCCCATACTCACTCTGTCAGAAGTTTGCTTTTCTTCTCAATGAACGTGAGGGCCTCAGAAAGCGTCAACTCCACAAAGAACCCATACCCCAATGCTACAAATATAGTGGACGTGTCTGGCCTGCAGCAGTGTGGAGAAAGAAATTAAAATGGCATATGTTGGCCATGGCCAAAGAGTTTAAAAAGAAATGAGAAACATCCTATCTGTTGAGGAGAGGACATGCAGCAATGGTATTTAACTGTTAGGCAAAACAATAAAGGTTCTATATTACTATAAATTTCCATATTAAAGAGTAGCTCAGAACTGGAAAGGCATTTCTGGAAAAACTGATTATCTTTCTTCCAGAGAGAAGAGAACGGAAGAAAACGCTGGACTGACATCTGCCAAGCAGGCTTAAGATACAGGTTATCACATATGGAGGAAAACACACCATTGGCATCAGAGGACCCACAAATAAAACTGAAACAGAGCCAAGTTCAACATCACTTAAAATGTATCTAATGACACCGTCTCAGTTTCAAAAAGTTAACCAGGAGCAGGAATGACACCTAGAGCAGCAAAACAGCAAATGGAGAAAAAAAAGCATACAAGCATGCACGCACGCACACATACACACATATGACTGCTGTGCACAACCTAGCTACTAAACGGTTACATTAATAGAACACTACATGCATTTGGATCTAATGTATGTGTCTAGAATGCAAGACAAAAGGTTTACAAAATTAATGATACCAATAATTAAAATGCACTAGAGCTAAGTGAATCATTTTTAAGTGTGTTGAAGTACACTTTACAGTAGTTTCTTCAATAGAAGACAAAACTACTGCTTTTTTCAAAACGGTTAGCAAGATTATTTAGGGAAAGCAAGGCTATAATAGGCACTATAGGGAGCAGTTATTTTCATAGCTGAGAATCCCATTGATAACCGTTGAAGACTTCTTTTCCAAAGCATATTTTCAGCCCTTTTGGCTAGAGGAAGTTTTGAGCAGTAACTGGTCTACACCTAAACCCAGGTATACAGTGTCACCACTCTTCAAGTATTAATTTAACACTGGTAGGGAAAAGCAGGAAAAGAGGCTGATGATAAAAAAGCAGGAAAACACTTCCATTAATTCGTCATGATGAGCTTCCTGCACATAACCTAAAATATCCAGTGTTGCCATGTGACAGAAAAACCATAAGAGCCATAAAAATCAGTACAGGAACTTTTCCCAGTTTAAAACTACAACTATCAGAACCACCCAGGTACAGTGGTGCCTCGCTTAACGGGTGCCCCGTTTAATGACGAAATCACATACCGATGAACTTTTTGCGATGTTTTAAATGGGGAAAAATTGCTTTGCGATGATCAGTACCCTGTTTTGCTTACCGATTATTGCTAAGCAATGATTTTCCCCCAGCTGATCGGCGGTTCCAAAATGGCCACCGGGTAAAAAAAATGGCTGGCCGCTGTGTTTACGGACGGATTCCTCGCTTACCGGATAGCGAAAATGGCCGCCGAATGGAGGATCTTCGCTTAAAGTTCAGTTTTGAGCCCATAGGGATACATTGAAGGGTTTTCAATGCATTCCTATGGGCTTTTGAAAATCGCATAGCGACAAAATCGCTTTGCAGTGATTTTTGCTGCACCGATTAACGTCGCTATGCGAGGCACCACTGTACAATGTTAAAAGAATGGGGGAATTTAGAAGGCACTCAGCTGGTGAAGGTTTCTCCAAGTTTACTGTCTTTCTTGTAATGGGGAATGGGCAAAGTGCAACTCTCCAGGTACTGTAACACAATTTAAACTAAGTCAGCTAAGCTCAGCAATGTTCTCAACCTGCTGCCGTTGCTGGCAAGTGAGCAAAAGGAAGGAGTCAGCAGGGAGGGAGGGAGAGAATCAGATTACCCAGGTTAAGAGCCAATGGCTCTTCAGAGCAAAGATCAGACAGGGTTGGCATCAATGGGGGAGTGTATAAAGGGGGTTAACTTGGAGATTATTTCACACCATTTATAAAATATAGATTAAAGATCAAAATGATGCTATAGTCAATAAAGCCTGTGCAACATAATATTTGGTAGAGCACAGAATAGCATCTTATTAGCAGTCTCCTACAAGTGTCCAACTCATTACTAAATATTTTTTGAAAACAGATCCATGAATATAGAATCTGGGAAGAGTTCATGGATTTAAATTCTTAAAAAATGAAGCAGGAAGTCCCTGATTTAAATCTCATCTAAGTCCTGAATTTAACAGATGACTTTAGCACTACTCTTCAGCTTCAAATCCATGTCTAAATGATAGAATAACAGCACAAGACTTATTGCATAGAGTTAGCACAGGATTATACAGGTAAGGGGCAAAATCCTGTTGCTTAGCACAATAAATTGAACAAGAGCAGACTCACTGAATCAGGGGATGATTTGGTGAATCAACTCCATAAGTACCATTGATTCAAATGGGCTTACTTTAACTCTAACTTACTTTAGCTGTTGCTGTTAGAGTAGGCTGATTTGATTCACCAAATCACCACCAAATTCACCTACTCTAGTGCAATTTGCTACACTAAGCAACAGGATTTTAGCTGATGTACAGGAGGTGCTTTGAACATAGGACATAAATACTAAGGCTGAAATCCAATGAAGCCTTTCCCACAGACAGAATGGCTTCTGTTACTGGAGTAGGGATGATGGCATTCTTCCTGCAGACCCCTACATATTCTCAAAACCTACTCCAGAAAGCTGAGGAAGTCTCTGGAGCAGATTTCAGGGATGGGGAGGGACACACAGGAGTGAAGAAGCTGAGAAAGTCCAGTTGCCCAAAGCAGACTTTTACTCACTGTGTTTTTGTCCATACTATAGCTGTTTTTTTATCAGACTATACCTGAGAAAATACTTGCATTCTAATGGCACATCTGAGATGTGAGGAGCCAATATTTTTGTTTTTTGCTATATTAGTTGTTATTATTAACTAATAACTAAGTTGTTAAACTTACAATAACTAATAACTTATAATAACTAATAACTAATAACTAAGTTGTTAAACGTAGCTGGATTTCAATTCATATTTGGGCTTGGAATTATAGAGCAGACTTTCAACTGTCTGATTTTGAGTTACTAGCTTCAAGAAAAAAATAGAAGTAAACCTATACGATGTTAGAAAACATAACTATATTTGCATTCTTGTACAATGAGTCCCTTTCCATCACCACTCTTTCGTAAGCAATACTGTGTTCCAAGCCTCTTGTTATGGGCCAATGTGCATTCATGCTGTTCTTGGCCCTCGGCCAGCAAAAGTGGTGAGAAAGAAGTGCGACTTCACACTTACCCATCTGTCCTTGCATAGGGGCAAATGCTAGTGGGAAAACAGTCTAAATTTGGTGCTTGTTTTGTAAATTACATTCCAACACAGAGTCTGTTTTTCTTATATCCAGAAAGGGTTCGTTCAAGGATAAGAACTCAACTTTGCTGTCATGCTGCCTTCTTCCTATCCACAACCCCTAAAGGTCCAAAACTCCAGGTTACAAGTTTTGTGACATACAGAAAATGATGAGTGTGGAAAAATGCTCAGATAATCAAGAAACAAAACGCTCATGCTCACTACCAGAAAAATTTGATTCTTGTTCCAGCTATATTAAGAGATAAGATTATTGGAAGGGAGGCAGGGAGGAAGGACAAAAGAACCAAAACAGTCACATCTCATGATCTCAGGTCTCTGTCAGCATTTAGTGTTGTCTCCCCCCCCATATTAAGATTTTTTTAAATTTTTTAAATTATTTTCTTCTTTAAAGGGTAGGGCAGGGTAGGGGGTAACTGGGACAAGGATACATTTAGAGGGGGTGGATTTGAACAAACAAAATACACATCATTATTTTCATAATAATTCTAAATAATCACTTCTAAGCGTAGTTCCAGATAACATACGAGTATATATACAATATATAAGGAAAATATAAATTCAGACCTATATTTTGTAATTTTAATTATTAATTATGTAGCTGTTAATATTTATTTAGTACAATGGTGCCTCGCTTAGCGATCGCTCCGTTGAGCGATGAAATCGCTTAGTGATGGGGTTTTGGCCATCACCAGAGCAATCGCTTAGCAATGGCCCCTATGGGAAAATATCGCTTTGTGATGATCGCGGGGAACTGATCATGGCAAAGTGACCCTTTTTGCACAGCTGATTGGCGGTTCCAAAATGGCCGCCAGAAAAACAAAATGGCCACCCACTGTTTTGCCTCGCTTTAGAGGCACCGAAAATGGCTGCCCGTATGGAGGATCTTTGCATAAGGTCCATTTTAAAGCCCATAGGAACACAGTAAACATGTTTTAATGCATTTCTATGGGCTTTTTAAAATCGCTTAGCGATTAAATCGCTTAGCAACATTTTTCCTGGAATGGATTAACGTCGCTAAGCGAGGCACCACTGTATTTAAACATAACTCTTCCTATACTATGACTGTATATCAGTCCACCATTCTAACTGTTTTGCAATCATATATTTAGTGACCACCAAGTTTCCCAGTGCTCCTTTTTCCTTTTTTAGATTCAGCTAGTCTGTTAACATATTGATTTTTTCAGTTCCCAGTATTCTTACTATCAATTCCTGTATTTGTGGTATTCCAGACTTCTTCCAGTGTTTCACAAATACTAATCTTGGCACTATTGTTCCTTCCATCTTTTAAATAATCAGTTTTTTTCATAATGATTCTAAATAATTCCTTCTAAGAATAGTTCCAACTATCATACATATCATTTTGCCTTTTACATATTAAGATTTTAGATCAGGTTTCTAAAAGCAAGTTCTCATTCCTCCTCCCACCAATGACACACATGCATCATTTAAAAACTAGAAGCATGCTGCATTCTTCAGCCCAAAAGGCAGACTTCTGAAGTGTGTAGCATTAGGACTAGCTATTGCCAAAAGCAATTCATTAATGGGAAAAAACAGCAAAAAGAAGAGACATAGCTGAGCAGAGAGCAGTCTGAAGAGTTTAACCTTCTGTACGGTCACTCCTTGACTAACTGTAAAAGTGGACTTTTTATATCCTGTTCCTTCTACCAAGATTAACCTGGTGTTTCTTGATAAGTATTTATCATTTTAGAAAAGCTGTAAACAATATGACACATCTCCAACATAGTCAGGTGTGTGTGCCATGAAGTTGGAACTAACATACACCAACCCTACTAGAGCTTTCAAAGTAAGTGACATATTTAAGGATTGTTTTCCCTGTTATCACTCTCACCACCACCCCAGTGAATTTCTATGGCCAAGCAAGAAACCGAACCCAGGTCTCCTAGTCCTAGTCTGCCCTTCTTCCCACTACACCACACTGGGTACTAAATTCAGGTGCAGCTAAGAAAGAAACCTGCCTAAAATTCTGGAAAGAATGTTGCCATTCAGTGTTGACAATATGGGGCTAGAAGGACCAATTGTTTGACTCAATATAAAGGGACTTTCATATGATTATGAAATTATATATTACACTAGAAAAGGGGCAGAGACCACTTTTCTTTCCTCTCATGATACAAGAACCCAAGGTCTTTCAGGGAAGGTGAATGAAAGATAATTCAAGATAAACAAAAACAAATCCTTCTCCAGAAAGCCCAGAATTAAAGCTATCAATTTTACTGTCACAAGTGGTGTCAGTTAATCCATTTTTTGGGCGGAGATTAGGCAAATTCAGAGGATAAAGCTATCATCATAGCTACACATTAGTTACAGAAGGCAGACAACATTCTTCTGTGAACCACACTGGAGGAGCACAAGGAGGATATGCCCTCTATCTGCTTGACCACTGTCTCTTTGGCCTGATCCAGCACCTCTCTTCTTCTGCCACTTTCTGGAAAATGTGAGAAATTAATCATGGAGATACTTTCACTACATTAATTTACATGGGGAGTTGGGCCTCTTCTGTTTTACAGAGATTCCATGCCTTTAACAGCTCAATGAGTGGCAGGTACCAAGGGGCTTTCAGGCTAGAGAAGGGATACAGCACACTGGATTTTGTTGGACTTCAATTCCCATCAGATCTAATCAGCACAGCCACTGACTGAGAATATGGGAATTTTACTTCAACAACATGAGAGCCAAAATTTCCTTACTTCGGTGTAGTATTTCTCCAAGTAATTAAGAAAACAAAATGATCCAGTCGATTGCCTGAGGCTATTTACTTGCACACTTGAACACGATCCATCTCCTTTCCTAATATAGGACAAGAACTTAATGGATTGCATGGGCTTTTCTATGGTGTGACTGTGAGAAGGACACTTGTCTTACTAGAAAGGGTAGGATTAGTGGCCATCTGGCCCATTCCTACTTTTATAATAGTATCAGGTACTTTTAAAATAAAGGAAGCCATTAAAATTACATTTTATCATGGATATAGGTCTCTATTGTGTACTCAAAAGTCATATATCAGGAAAAAGGTGGTAGAATATGCAGTGAAATGAACACACAGATCCATGGTTTGTGCACTGTTCACAACACACTATCTTTGTTCTACTCACACTTCTGCGTTGACATAGAAATTGCAGCCTAGGTCTACTTGTGTCTTCAGCTCCTTGTTTCCTACCTCCTGAAGCAAAACAATACAAGTTTATCAGTTCCTCTTCTCTGAGGAATGCCATTCTTATATTTATTTACATACTACTGACAGTGCAGTGCACTACTCTCAGCAGTTTACAACAGAACAAGAAATAATAATCAATCAACCCACCAAACCAACATTAAGCTAGAACTGCTGGATATCAGTGCTTTAGGTATCTGAGGTGGGAGTAAAATTCCCACTGGGCCTCCTTGACAGGAGCTGGACTCGAAAATCCATAGGGTCCCTTCCAGCTCTGCAGTTCTAAAAGTGTTATTATTATAACACATTCACAATAATCAAAAAGAAACCTCAAATGATTGCAGGATCAGGAAACACAGCTAACTATTAACTTCTAAGAGGATGTCCCTGAATGCTTCCTGAAACAGGATGATCTTCAGCATGGTCCTAAAAGAAGGGACAGAGGGGGTCTAGCATATCAGGAGCTACAAGGATGGGGCCATGACTAAAAAGGCCCGATTTCTGGTAAACAACTTCTTAGCCTCTCTCGGAGCGGCAATCTAAAGAAGGCAGGCCTGGGAAGAAAGGGTTGAACGGCCTGGTGTTTTCAGGGAAAGATACTCCAACAAATAACAGATCTTCTAAATAAATTTTCTCCAGTTGTCTGTTATGCAAAAGTACTGCATTATCTTGTCTGAGATACTGCCAGAATCTTTTATGATAAAATATTCTGGAGAGGAAAGAGGTTTCAAATTACCTGTAATCGCTCAATAACATTCTTGAGTTGAAGGTACTGAGCAATTTTTTCATAGACCTCATCCCTCTGCTCCAACACCTTCCTGTGGAAAAAAACAGCAATAACTCTCTGGCAGCACTAAAAAGAAAACGGAACCAAAAGAAATCTAAATTTATGACATGTGTCTGCATGCAGTAGGATAGTCAGAGGATGGGGCTTTGAGAAATGGCATTTTTTAGAATCACTCACTGGAGATCTCTCTGCAGAACATCACTGATAAAAGCCTCATACTGAAGCACCTTTTCTTGCACTTGCTGTTCAGGCAGCATTGCTGTGAAGTTTCAAGCTATTAATAACAGCAGCCTGCAAAAAGAATTAGCAGAAGTTGATAGTTACGGTTGGGGAACCAAGTGGATCTTGAAAAGGCAAGGCATCCTATATGTGATATTTATTTGCAAATAAATCTCCTCCAATCCTCATTTTAAGATGCATGCAAATAATGTCCAGTCTGATAATATACTGAGCTCTCACTTCCTTGCCTTTATGGGGACCCTCTAAAATATAACCTGCTGTCATTCAGCTCATCAAAATAAGTGATGAAGAGTCAGGGAAGGAAAAAGTGTAATCCGCCAACGGGGTTTTCTCCTCCTAAACCAGCCCGCAGGTCCAGCTGCGCTCCGGGAAGTCTGGTCCAAAAGCTTCCTTATTGAAGAAGAGGCTCCAAAGGCATCCACTTTAATTCGCCCAGAAAGCAGGATTGCTGGCGTCCTCGCCCTCCAGCCAGCACTTCCGGAGTCACTGCGCCAGACAGGCAGGGACAGGACAGGTTCCCTCGCAGGAATTCCTACCAGCCATCCAGGCAGCACCCCACCAACGAAAGCAAACGGGAACTACCGAGGAAAGGAACGTGTTGAGCATAAAACATTTCGTTCTATCCTCTCCCGTTATTTCTCCGGCGCTGCAGGTCTTTTTTGTTTCTGACCCCTACAAGGACGCGAGGCGAGCTGGAAAGCCACCTGCAACTGAGATGAGCCACTGCATTCCTTGTTTTCCGATGCTGAGGCCGCGGGGCCGCTAAAGAAGTAACTTAGCTCTCCACGTTACACTCTTACAATAAAAGGGAAGTCAGGTGTTATGGGAGGGGTGAGAGGGGGCCAGACTTATGTCGGGGATTTATATGCAGCTCGTTGCCCAACAGAGGCCTCCTATGCAGAACAGTCACTCCTAAGAGGAAACGGGTCCTCTTTCCGCCCGTTATCCTTTCCCGTTGAATAGCAGGCAAGCGACTTTACTCGGCCCCGTTCCTTTTTTGGGCAGCAGACACGATGGGCAACTCTAAGCCAGGAGTGCGACACCGGAAGTCATCCGACGCCACCTCCGGTCCCGTTCCTAATAAGGTCGGCTTCGAACTTTTCTTTTTATAACTAGTTCTCGGGCAGCGGGCGGGACGTTCCTTCTTCGCCACTCGCCCTCCACCTCTCCTCATGGCGGCGGCGGCGGCGGCGCCGGAGTTGCGCCTGGACGGCTCAATCCGCTTCTGGGTTCTGCTGCCGGTGGCCTGGATCGCGCTGGCTGTCGGGATTCTGCGGCTGCGCGTCGCGGGGCTGTTGCGCGGCGAGCGCGAGCTGGGCTGGCGCGAGCAACGGCAGGACACGTGAGTGGCGGGAGAGAGGGCGGGGTTTGCGGGAGGCCACGCCCACGTTTCCAATCGCTGAGCCGGCTCGAGGCGGGGCTCGAAGTACGTACTGTACTGTAGGTCAGTGGTTCTTAACTTTGGGTTACTCAGGTATTTTTGAACTGCAACTCCCAGAAACCCCACACAGCACAGCTGCTGGT